ATTGCTTCCATCCGTACAGAGGCAGAATGGAGCTGTTTTAATGCAATCAATAACTAAAGATTTATTTTTCAAACCCATTTCTTTAACAATTGCACCTGTTTTGGTCCTTGCACTTGAGTATTTCTTAGCGATTTCACTATCGGGAAACATTTTTCTAAATAAAGCTGCAGCGTGATCCAATGCATTCAGTGGCAGGTTGTGCTCCAGTAAAAAGGCAGAGAACAGACATTCTGCAATAATAACGTTTTGGTTCTTTGTTTCCGAAGAAAAATTTAATTTTTAGTTTTTTTCAAAACAACTCATGTTGTCTTTGTGTTTTTGTGTACGCACATGTTTGAGAACATCCGCCCTTCCACCATGTGAAATCGAAAAATCACAACTACAGATGGTACACATCGCAAATTTATTACATTTCCTTGAGGAAATAATGGAAGGAAAGTCAACTGCTTCATATTTTAATTACAAATGGGAAAACTCTAAGCAGCCAACCTGTTCACCATGCTAGAGTAAGCTGCCAATGTTACTCACTCGGCTACTTGTAGAAAAAACTAGCATAAAAATATATTCTTAAACAGTTGCTAAGAAGAATTTTTGAAACTGTGTACGATTTTTGAAACGTACATGAGTATTTCACCTTTCTCACAGACATAGCAAAAGATGATAATTTCTAAAACTATTTCTCGAAGGCACGTGTACTCACACAACTCAGGACAAGATAAACGAAATAACTAAAGAACATACAACTAACAGCTTTGAGCTTGCTTTGTGCTCATTGGCCGATATATGCCAGATGACATGCAGCGGAGCTCGATGCCCATTGGAGAACGACGTTTCTGGATACGTATGCTCTCACTCACAAAGCAGAAATTCTCATCTGATTCACAAGGTTTTGTTTTAGATATAATCTAGATAAAATTCAATTACTTTCCAGACGTCCAAAATCACTTTTTTTTTTTTTTTTTTTTTTTTTTTTTTTTTTTTTTTTTTTTTGTTTGTTCATATAACGAAGTATTAAGCCAAGTTCCATAAAAATTGAGGGAAATTTTAAGAATAAGAAAAACTCAAGAGAAATATATTGTAAATCAGGTTGGCGGAATCAGGTTGGCGGGAGAGTGGTTGAAAATCGGGAGAGTTGGCAACTCTGCATTAAAGTTCAGGTTTCAGTAGAATGTAATGCCAAACATTGTGGAAAGACCAAAAGGAGGCCTGACAAAATGTTTTGTTGCATGTTTGGTACTGCTTTGCAGCCCTCTCTTGAACAATTGCACTTTTTTCCGCTCTCCACTAGAAAATGTTCAACACCATCTTTTGCACTTGAAGGTAGAGAAAATATCCTAAGTCTTCCTCTTGTTCCTGTTATTTTTTAGATAGGCCATTCTTATTGCTCTTCAGAATGCCTCCAAGTTTAGAGTATTGCTTTTGTTGAGAGCTTTATAGATTTGCCACTACCATGTATAGGAAGGAAAGGTAGGCAGTACTTCTTTTTTCCCACCAATCTTAATGACATTATAATCCAGTTAACCAATCTTGGTGATCTACCCCAGCCTTATGTTTGTTATAAGAATTCATCAAATTAGGCATCTTCGCATCAGCTTTATCTTTTGTGTCCTTTTACTCATATCATCACTTCAGAGAATGGTTTTAAGGTGTTGAAATTTATAACAAACGTGACAGTCATATTGTCATCACAGTGGGAATTTTCTCCACATAGATTCGTTTAATTCTTCATGAACTATTTGATTTTCTCATATGGTTCCTGTAGAGCTCAATAACCCTGTTGCCTGAGATTTTGCATAAAATCAATGGTGGTGAAAAAAATTACCAAAATATAAAGTATAACTTAAAGGATTCACAATGTTCTCTGTCACTTTCATCACAACAAGGGTAACAAGAGGAGTATCCTTTACTGTACTAATTCCTTACTGCAGTAGAGGGAAAAGTTATAACAATATTCTTTACTTCCATACAGTCCAAAATTTATATCTAAAATGTATTGGCTTGCCTTGGATAATTAGTAGGACTAGTCTGGCTTGCCTCAGACTATTCCTACCATGGTACATGATTATCATCTGGTCAATGTTTAGGTTTGCTGAGAAATGTCTGAACTTCATAAAATTATTATTGAGCATAGCAGACAAGGGTTTAATCTCCAAAAGTCAATCCTCAGGATGCTGACTCGCTGTTCTATTGTCCACAAAATGGAAATAAGTTTTTAGATTTTGGAAATGTTTTTTGACTTCACATTTCTCACCAGGGTAATAATGCCTTTGACCAGTAGTCAAGTTCACAGGTATTTGAATGTTAACCAGTTAGAAGGAAAAGTCCTTGCGTTAGCTGTGGTAAAGAAATCATGTCCAATTTTTTCATCTGTTGCTCGTTTTACATCTTTTACTATGTGATTGTAAATTTCATTAGAATAAAACTGTTAAAAAAGTTCTGAATTTTTTCTTTCATGTAGTTTAATGTATTTGAGCAAGCCATTTGCAGTTGAATCAACCTGTGTTTCCCATTTTGTATACTGTGTTGATTTCATTTTTTCCCAGTATAACTGATGTTTCTAGGTTTTTGTCAAAACATTAGAGCTTGTGGAAGCTTTGGGCTCGAAACTGTCTCCAGTTCTAACCTCCAGGTCATTTACAATAATCTCACCAGTATGTACTTCATTGTCATTTCCTTCATCTTTGTCAGTAAGTTCAGTGGCATCTAGTGGTAATATGACAATTTCAACATCACTGTCATCTGAATCTAAATTATTTTAATAGTTCCAATGTTTCCTCTAATTCCAGAAGCTTTTGCTTGGACATGACTATGCTAGGGGGAAATGCTGGGCAGGAATTATTTTTTATTCCTCTTAGTTATAAGAGGAGCGATAGCACGTTAATTGCATACTTATCCCACTATCCTATTTAGAAGATAATAAAAAAAAATAATAATGCACTACATCTTACCTAAAATCAACAAAGCTTTATTTAACTATCATGATGATAAAGAAGGAGTACTTTCACATAAAAGATGCCCAACCATATGTCAGGTAAACTGAGAAGGAATCAACCATGTGTCAAGTAAACTAGCAAAGAATCAAGAAATCATGTACCTACAAAGAGAAGATACAAACCATGCCTCCTAGTGTGGGGACTGATCAGAGTTGTCAGATGTTAATGAAGGGAGCCAAACGCATAAATCACACTAGCAGAAGCTTATGTGTTCCCTTACAAATGAAAGATTCCAATTTCCACGTGTTCCAAATGAAAGATTCCAATTTCCACGTGCTGTTTTTAGCCATCCTTTAAAAAGGGCAGTGGGATAAAATGAGCTAAGTTAAGGAAAATTTTGCTCCAATCAAAATGAGGTAGCTATATTTGATTTGAAATTCTTTCTAAAATCAAAGACGCAAAATATTTTTCTTTAATATTGATTTTATACCGGATGTTTTGCGGCATGGAAAACTGTTTTAAATAATTAAATGCATGTACATAAAAAGCAGATTCATAACTATTGAAAAAAGCTATACCAATTTTCTAGAAACAAGAGAAAAATGGAAGTGATTTAACCAATAAAATTTTGTATAATTTAGACAAAGATGCCTTGACACTTGAAATGTTTGAGCCTAGTATAGCATATTGATACCAATATGAATGAATGTACAAAGATGTGTAAATTATTTGCCAAAGAAATTATCAAGCCTCTGAACGGCATGATTGGCTTTATCCGGTCGTGAGATTTTTTGGTCACTTGATATGTAATAGCTTATTTTGCTTCCTTACTTTCTTTAATAATGTAAATGTAATCTTAATGAATGTAAGTTTATGAAAATAGAGGGTAAAATAAGTAAATATATGAATTTACTTATTTTACCCTCTATTTTCTATGGTAGCTAATAAAAGCTGCATAAATACATCCAAAAGCTCATGCCGCTCAGAGTGTTAAATGCATTCCTTGTTTGGCTCTTAGCCTAAATTTAGTACAAAAAATGCCACTTCTTCAAATTTGTTTGTGTTAATATATTTTAGAATTATTTAAAGGATCTATAATTTTATGTACCTTCAGTAATTAAATGAGGTGCTCTTATATCCATATTAATAATGTCCATCATAAGAAAATACCATGAGATGAAATGAGAAATCATTCAGTGAGTTGACATTAATAGAATTTTGATGCAAATCAATTAAAAATTTTTATGTATGCTACCTTTGAGGAATTTAATACTAAATAGAAATAGAAAGCATTAAGTGAAGCCTTGCAGTAAAAAATTGTAACAGAATTTAAAGCTGCATATTTAACAGAGAGAATAAAACTTTTTTTTTTAATGGAGATATATTAAAAAAAGGAGGGGGTATGAAATATCTTCTGATTTTCAATTTCTAACTGGTAAAAAAAAAGTTAATGTTATTTGATAATTTAAAGTTAGCAGTTAAGCATTTAAATAAGTTCTTTCAGAAATATCTACTTTTATAAAATAATGCTGTTTTAATAATTCGGGGCACTGAAACAAATTAAATCATTTGAAAATAATTCTGGAATATTGCTTAGTTCAGTCTTATCCAAATTTGGAAAGCAGCATCAAAAATATTCTTAATGTTGCCAGGTATTGTTGCTTGTGGCGGAAAAAGCTTCAGTGAACTTGAAATAGTAAAAATTGTATACAAGATCTGTAATTGGTTGAGAAAAACTGTCAGATCGTAGCCTTTCTTTTTATAGGACATGCATTAAGAGATCAAATAAATTTTTTAAAAATTATTACTGATTTTGGTTCATTAAAAGCAAGCAAAATTAAATTATAAGAAATGTTTAAAAAATTAGTGCAATGATTTTTATTAGTTACATAACTTTTATTTCGTTGTTAATTTGACATTGGTGAACTTCAATTTCCCCTGAATGGCTACACTCAGCATTTTATATAGCAGCTGCATATTTGTCTTTCGTCTGAGGTGAAAAAATATGCAGACACAGCTCTGATTTGCCATTATATATCATTTTCATTCTTTTATTTTTTCTAATAGACTTGAAGAAGAAGAAGGAGCACGTCAAAAATTGCAACTAGAAAAAGTTACGCTTGATTCAAAAATTAAAAAAATAGAAGAGGATTATGCTGCTTTAGAAGATAGTAATCAAAAGGTGATTAACAATTTTTAGAATATGAAAATCTGTGCATAGCTTTTTCTTTGTAAATACCATTTAATTGTTTTTTTAATTATTTGAATAATGGGATAGGTTTTAAAAGAAAAAAAGCTGCTGGAAGAAAAGCTTGTAGAAGTTTCTCAAAATTTAAGTGAAGAAGAAGAAAAATCTAAGCATTTATCAAAATTAAAGGCAAGGCATGAAGCCACCATTGCTGATATAGATGAAAAGTTACGCCGAGAGCAGCAGGTAATTATTAATTTTTCAGTTATTTGCATTATTTTTATTGCCAATATTTGGTACTTCAGATTTCAGTGAATTCTCATTTTTTACTGTTATTTAAATAAATGATATAATACTCTTTAAACAATTAAGAAATAATTTTAATCTATTTTTAAAGATGAGACAAGAACTAGAACGTGCATCGCGTAAGATCGAAACAGAGTTAAATGATGTGAAAGAACAATTAATAGAAAAGAAGCAGCAAGTTGATGAAATGCATCAACAGCTTTTACGAAAAGAGGATGAGCTAACTCAGGCACTTAACAAGTAAAATATTTATATTTTATTTCATCTAATTTTTATTTCTACTGAAATATATATTGCAGTTGGCAGTATCTCCCAGCTGTGCATTTCCAAAATGTATAACCAAAGTAGAGTTATTATGCCATTAAAAGTTAATCTTCTTTTTATTCGGAGGAGAAAGCTGTTTTTAAAAGACTCATAAAGGTTAGAAAAGTCCATATAAATTGGGAGAGAAGGTCTGTTAATGTAAGGGAGTTGTACATATTTTAAGAGCATATGAATGAAGCAAGTGACAAGCAATTTCATTTCCAAGGAAAGTTATGTGATCTGTAGAAGAACGAAATGTCTCTGAGTATGAGTATATTAAATAACTTTTTTTGCCAGACACCACAATTTGTACTAATGTATTGATTTATTGCCAAATCTGCATTTTTAAGTGCAATTTTTTTAGATCGTTATCTTCTTTATTACATCAAAAACACTCTTTAGTTTTTTTTTTTTTTTTTTTTTTTTTTTGATCTGGCAGCTGTAAGACAAGTTTGATTATGAAAATTTTGATATTTTTTCATTTTTGTAATCTTTCCCCCCCCTTTTGGGGGGGAGAGGTAACAAATAATAACCTTTTTGGGGGGGAGAGGTTACAAATAATAACCTTATTATGATAGCATTCAAGTAACTTGACTATATTAAAATTATGTCATTTTAAAAAATAACTTGCAAACAGAATATTTTTATTTTCCTTTCCTCATGCTCTAAAATCTGTTTATCTTTCATATTTAGCAATATCTTGATTGTAATATTCAAACAAGGTAATGAATGTTATGAAGTACAGTAATCAAATTACTTTTTAGCTGAAATGAAAAAGTTACTGTAAATAAGATAAATTTAATTTGTTCTTTGCCCCATTTTTTGCAAGAGATGTCTTCATGCCTTTGCAAGAGATCTGTTTCAGAATGTTGAAATAAATGTCAGTTTTCTCTGTTAAATTCATGTTATGTTTTTTCTAATCCTCCCCCCTCCAAAAAAAAAAAATCTGATTATGATTCTAATAAAGTTAGTGAGTATGAATTTTTAATTTTACGTTATGATTTTATGTAGATGTGATGAAGAACTTATCGCAAAAGCACAAGCACAAAAAATGTTGCGAGAGACGGAAAACCAGTTAACAGAAGTTCAAGAAGATTTAGAAGCTGAAAAAGAAGCCAGGGCAAAAGCAGAAAAACAAAAGAGAGATTTAAATGAGGTATTAGTTGATTGTATGTTAAGTAAAATTACTGACAGTTAATTTGCAGTATGGATTTGAGATGAATTTTAAATTCACATTAAAATCTCTTTATAATTTTCTTCTGCCCTTCAGGAATTAGAAGCTTTGAAAAATGAACTTGTAGACTCAATTGATTCTACTGCTACTCAGCAGGCTTTGCGATCTAAAATGGAAGAAGAATTACATCTTTTAAAAAGGAATTTAGAAGAAGAAACTGTAGCTCATCAAAATCAGATTGGAGAGTTGAGGCAAAAACATACTATAGTTGTTGAAAAGTTAAATGAACAACTAGATTCGGTTCAAAAGGTAATTATACAGTTTTATCAACACCAAATATTTTTCCATTGATTACTATCATGTAGTTTTTGTTAGACATTTCAACTTTACTGCATACGGGGGCTTAATCTTCAATCACTAAACATCGATTTTTAACAGTTTAAAGCGTGCTGTTCCCTATTGTAGCATGTAGTGTATACTCATAATAATCCTTTTAATTTCTGAGATGTGAAGTTTTTTATTCTAATGGTGACAATACAATTTAATATTTTCTTCAGCCTGTTAGTATTAATCTTATCAAGCTTAAAAGTTTTAGTTAATGATAGCATCTTTAGTTTACTCTTTCTTCAAAACTAAATACAGTCAAAAGTCTTTAATCCGGACTCACCGGCACTTCAGCGATTCCGGATTATCGATTTTTCTAGATTATCGATCATCAGTTTAAATTTCGTAAGATGGCATTATAAAATTAAAAATATGAAACCGTAATTTATGAAATAAAGAGCAATTATGATCTAAAGGGTATCAAAATTTACAAAAAAAAAAGCTTAATATTTATTTGTTTACTTTATTAAACATTCCTTTGAACATGCGCATGCGTAAAACATACATTGCGCATATTCGAAATTAGAAAATTGCAACCAGAAAACTATTTGATGTGTACTCGTGATATTTATAATGAGGAGGAATTTGATTTGAATTATATCAGAGACAGAATACATCGAGATGAAATACTACATTTAGTAAGGAATTATAAGCCGAATAAAATAAAAACATCTGCCCTGAAGATAAGGATAGTGCTGACAGATCAACTTCCAGTTCATTGCGCACGGCGTCCCCCCCCCCTGCGCAGAGCAGCGTGAAATTGATAAACAAATTTCGGAAAGGTTAGAGAAACAAAAGATATGACTTTATCCATTTTTTGCAGCAATTCCACTTTTTGTTTGATGGACATCAAAACATACTTTCATTTTGTAGATCCTTTGGCAGCTCCAGCATCGGAAATTCTATTTGACATAATCGAAAGTGAATTTTTGTTCTCTTGTGATCATAATCATTTCATATTTTTAATTTCTGCATGCCATCTTACTAGATTTAAGTAAGCAATCTGGAATTGCTAAAATTCCAAAAATGCCATATCTCAGACTTTGTATCATATAAAGTACTTTTCATTACTAGCATAATATAAACATTGAGTCTTTTCATTTCCATTTTAATGTATTTTTTAGTCTAAAGCTGCACTAGAGAAAGCAAAAGCAAATCTTGAAAGTGAAAATAATCAGTTGGCTTCTGAATTGCAAGTTATTTCATCAGCTCGACAAGAATCAGAGAGACGAAGAAAACAGATGGAGAATCAGCTTCAAGAACTGTCAATCAAATTTGAAGAAGTTGAAAGAAGTAAATCAGAAATGTCGGAGAGAGCACAAAAATTACAGGTATGTGCCTTTAAAAAACTATTATGAACTTTATTAGTGCTTTAAAATTTTTTAATGCTGACTTTACTTAAAGATATTTTTATTTAAAATGTCTTCTCTTTTCCATTTAGGCTGAACTGGAATCAGTGAGTGCTCAGTTAGAGGATATGGAAAACAAAGCTACACAAGCAATCAAAAGTGCTGCAACACTGGAATCTCAACTTGCAGAAAGTCAAGTAAATTCATTTTTATCTCATACTAGTTTTCATTTTTCTTTGTTATGCTATTGCAGTATATATGGGAGTTGTTCAGTGTGTTTGAAGCCTGATGCATTTGTATAAAGAAAATGTCAAAAATTATTGTCTTATTTTCCTGCATAGTTCTTCTTGGTGCATGTAACTATAGTGGCTATTTAAGCTTTTAATTTCAGTAGGGAGGGCGAAGTTTTGTCACAGCCTTCAAGTCATTATTGATGCTGTAAAGTGGACCATGTAAATTCTGTTTCATGCTTTGAAACAGAAACATAGCATTTAAGGGCAGGTCTGAGGAATGCATGAGATAACAGAGGAGCTAAAATCTACATTACTTAATAGCTCTTTAGGCAATCTGAGCTCTCTGTGCTGAAGAGTTGTCATTCAAAAGTACCTTTTTTTGGGGGGGGGCTGAGTTTACCATGGTTTTACCCATGGCTGAGTTTCCATGAATTTGCTTTATGCTTAGTCAGCAAATTAACATGTAATCATGTTATTGTAGAATTGTGTGGCATATAATCAACAAGCAGTCATTCCTGTTTATCCCCATAAATAATGTCTTAACTCTTTCCAGCATATTTTTGGATTCTGAATTTGTAAGACTCCAAGAGAACAATTGTTTCCTCATTATGTTTTTTTTTTTTTTTTGTTTTGTTTTGTTTTGTTTGTGAGTGATCCTACGAATGGCTCAATTTAAGATTTCTAAATACTGGTAGTTCATCGCAGGCTCAAACCCAGACTAAAAGTTTGACTGCGTAGTTGTTTTTGTGGTTTTCCCCGTGTAACATGAATGTGAGCCGGTTTTCCTTAGAAAATCCTCCGTGATGGCATTCTTCCTCATAGGCAGATAGCGCTCATGTACTTAGCCATTTTCAAATAATTAACTTTTTGTAGGTCATAATAATGAGGCAATGTTTCATCTCCTGTCGCTAATGTAAAAAAAAAAAATTGTGTTTGTGTTTATTGTTGCTTGCATCATCATTCTGGATACTCATAAGGTGCAGATCTGTAATGATCCTACTTTTCATGGAGAATGTTTTCTATTGATTCAGCAGTGATGCCTATTTCCATAGCAGTTTGAGAAACTGCTTTGTCTATTTTCTATCACATACTCCTCAACATCAGGTCAAATTTTTTCAGTGATCATACCCATACTAGAGCTTTATAGTTCATCTTTGAGTGATACTGTATTCTGTCTAAATGCAGCAGCTCACTTCTTTGGGGGTAGTATAGGAAGGTATTATATCACTATATATTGTTGCTATCCATTCATAACTATTTGTGGGTGTTACATCTTCTTTGGACAGAGTACACTCATCAAAGAATGCTTGGTATTTTCATTATTAACAATCATTCCTGATTGTCACCATTTAACAACCTCCCCAAAATTAAAAATAATGCCTGATCTATGTACACTTCTTTTCTGTTTCCAGAGGATGATGCAATCAGTTCATTGCATTTCATCCTCCTACAAATATTACACCACACTTAGGCGTATAATTTATTGACTCTCATATATTGCTATAAAGCAGTGTATCTGTAATACATGTTAGAAATATGACAGTTTTTTGTTTTGTGTATACAATAGTAAAACAAGCTTCTGTAAAAAATAGGAAAAAGTTTTTTATTATTATTATTATTATTATTATTATTATTATGTAATGGTGATGTGAAATTAGATGTTCCCATTTCTGATTATGAATTGTTTAACAAAGAGTAAAAATCTTGCTCTGAAATCTAAAAAATTAATCATTAGTATATTATATAAATGTTCCAATTAATCAAACTGAAGGATCTGAAATTAATCTCTTTCCATAGCGGTGCAGGATTTCTATCTTATTTCATAAATTTTTGATACATTCAGAATATCAATGTATATAGTATTTATACTTTAACATAACTGTAAACTCTATCATAGAAATTGAAGTAAATTTCAAACAAAATGAGTAGAAACAGTGTTGCCAAATCATGCGACTTTTGCAAATTTCCTGCTTTTGACAGGCTTGTACTACTAAGTCAGTGTGAATTTAGTTTTGCAATTTTTCTGCTTCTCTATTATTTCCTTGTGTTACTTTGCCACTTAAAAAATGTTTAATATTTCCTAAAATTTCATAAATGTTAATATAATATACCTATTAAAATTAAATTATAATAAAAAGTAATAATTTATTTATGTGTAAATGAAAGTTGATAACTGCAATTGTTACCTGTGAGTGCATGTGCATTCAATTTTAGCACTAATGGCTGGTACTTCCATGTGTTTCATTGATTGCTTAGTTTAATATTTTAGTGGTCTGTGGATATGATTTTAAAGTTTAGTTAAATTATTGCTAGGGTGTTATGAGTAACGTAAAAAATCCAGCATCTCCTTTTGAAAGTGTTTGGTTTAAAATACCCATGTGTGATAATGGGCTGGAAAGAATTTAGACTGAATTTACGATGACGTCAGAGGTCGTGTATGGAGTCACAAAAAATTATGTGATCTCTGATGTCACTTTTTGTGACTTTTTAGTTTTTCTTTAGCTACTTTAGCTCAAAAATTTCTGCCAACAATGAGTAGAAATATGACAGTTTTTTGTTTTTTAATATTATATGTCTGTGTATTAGTTAACAAAAGGGATCATATTAAAATTATTTATTATTAAAAATATACTCTTATATTATTATTAAAAATCTTGTATATTTCAAATATAATAAAATATATTAAAAGTATACTTATATATATATATATGTATACAGTAAAGTCTCAACTATCCGTAAAGCTTGGGGAAGGGCTGAATTCTGTATAGTTCAGCCTATAAAAAACAAAATTCGCATTAGAAAAGCCAAATCAGTGGAGTAAATTTCCACTATAAAATTAGAAAAAAACAATCATTTTGAATCGGAAAGATGAATTAACTTGAACCTTAAACCCGCATTTAAAATTATGCAAGATATTTTTTTTCCCTTAATAAACTCATTTTTACATAAAAGTCAACATGTTTTTGTAGGCTAAAAATCTGATCTGATTTTGAAATCCCACCAAACATGAAATTTGGCAGAGATGTCACCAATCATTCAGGCAGAAGTATAAATGAACAGATCATTCTTTAGTATATTGCCATTGTTTATCCATTTTCAAAGTCACATATCCTGGCTTTTTTATTATGCTCGGATCCTATAACTTTGAAAATACTCTACTTCATGCAGTCCCAAATATTAATAATTTTTTCAAACTATGATGAGAAATAAAACGTATATCTTTCTTTACAAAAATTATAATGGCTTATCAAGAATTAATCAAATTTATTTTAGACAAAAATTAACTTCATATTATTCCGTTGTGAAGTCATACTTATCAATTGTTAGCGCAAAATCATATTGTTTGGCAACAATATATGTGTGTTAATCCTTTGATTAATGAGCTCAGCTCGCATTCCAGTTATGCACCACCATGGGCACAAACAAACACAGCTCACATAACAGATTTACAACTCACAGATATTGTGCATTGCTTGATGAAAGAGAGAATTGCTTAATCTCAGAACCGCCAAAGTATTATGAGCTCTGTAATTGCACAGATATTGTGCATTGCTTGATGAAAGAGAGAATTGCTTAATCTCAGAACCGCCAAAGTATTATGAGCTCTGTAATTGAATTTCAGATTAAATTTGTGTATATACCTAAAGTAGGTATATCAATTTTTTAGGAACAACTGCAAGATGAAACTAGACAAAAATTAGCCCTCAGCTCCAGACTAAGGCAGTTAGAAAGTGAAAGAGAATCTTTGCAAGAGCAACTTGATGAAGAAGAAGAAGCAAAGAAAGCACTAGAAAAACAAGTGTCACTACTCAATCTTCAAGTGTGTATAAAAAGACATTACCATGCTATTTTTTTGTTTTTCTTCATTTTTTCAATTTTATTTGTGATTAATTTGCATTGTCCAATGTTTATTTGTTTATTTTTACATAAGGTGCAGCAGTCAAAAGTCAAAAGATTATTTTATTTTTGGTCAAAAATATAAGATGGTGTTAAATAGTTATATAAATAAAATTATAAGGTATGTTATTTTATTTGCATGTTGCACTTAAATGGGACATACATGATTAAAAAATTTATATCCCATAAGTAAATCTAACTCAGTTAAATTTTATTCCATTTGTCATTTAAATTAATTTAATATAAAGTTTTTTCATTAAACTTTAAAATGGCTACTGGATTATAAATATTTATTCAATCATTAATTTTTTAACATCTGTTTTAATTTCTTTAAATATTTAAAAAGATGAGACAAAGAGAAATGCTGCAGGGGAAAGGAAATATTCAGAAATACTATATGACATTAATGAAGATGTCATTACAGGAGAAATATCTGTGATTTATACATGCCAAAAATATTCAACTGTATTTAATATTAAGTACTAACCACTTTAAATGTGAATGTAGAAGCAGAAATTACTTCTTTTATAATTTTCCTGGAATGAACTGAATGTAGAAGCAGAAATTACTTCTTTTATAATTTTCCTGGAATGAACTAAGTCCCAGTTTCTGTGACCTGCAAATGTTTGTGGCAATCCTGAAGGAATGACTGTCTCATATTTTTGCTTGACTTCAGATAAACGATGTAATAATGAAACAACTTCATAAAAGAAGCCTGGATGTGGTAGTATCCCTTAAGATTTGTTAGTCACTGAAATTTTTGTGTTAAAATGATGTCCAAGTTTATCATTTAGGAAAGTGCTGTGCTTGCAAGGAATATACCAAAATATTCTCTGAAAACGTTCTGAAAGTTCATTAAGCAGGTTTTATTGGATAGCAGTTAATTTTCTTTCTGTCACGATTTATTTTATGTTGCATTTCAAGCTTAAAGCTTTTCATGAAGTTGACTTCTTAACTGTAAAGTTTGACAGCAGTTCCTGAAATGTAATTTACTGAAGTTAGTTAACAGCTTTGGAAATATCCATTAATGGATTTTTCTTTGAATGAAGTAATTTAGGTTATTATTATATTAAGCTGATCATTCCTCTTAATGATTTTTGTCACTAAGTGTTACATGCTTTCTACAAGGCTCTGTACATGACCTAAAAATCTGTAGTTATTTAAACCTGGAAAATATTCATTTAGCAATTAAATATTGGAAGGGGGAAATTCTCTTTTACTTTGAGAATAATGAAAGCCTTGATTACTTAAGCTAATGACAATGTTTTATCTTGTACGCTAATATTTTTCCCCCTGCAATGTCCTATTTGAACACCAATGTAAAATAAATGAATAAATAAAAAAAAATTTAAAAATAATTACTAAAAATATTAATGAAGGAATTATGAACCACAGAATATGTGATTGAAATAATAGCGTCCCAATTTTTAGCTTTTTGTATATTTTTTATAGAGTTTACCATCATTTAATCATATCTTTATCCTATTTAAATCCAATAATGTTTTCATAAAAGTTTGTCTCACTCAGTCAATTTTTTATAAATTTTCAATTCATCAGTCAACAATTCTAGGAGCATTATGGACATGAACCCATAATGCTTTCAGAATAAAAGTAGCCACTAAATCGTGTGGCAAGAAATTAATGCTTCCTAGTTCCTTTCTTGATATACTGTTGTTGGTATTATTGTCTTCACAACCACATTCATTTATATACCTTTTTTGTAAATAAAATTTTTCTGTGACCAAAATTTTCAACTTTCTTTCTAGTTTTAGTTAGCAAGAAAGAATGAATACATTAAAAGTTTGAGTAGTTAATTATAAAATAACAACTTATAAAGCTTATCATTTCTTATTAATGTGTGTATGTTTAATTTTGTTTGAATGTGTTATATGGTCATTGATGACTGGGTGCTCCCTAAAGAGAAAATTGCATCACTTTTACGTGTTGTGAGCCTATTAAAAGGAACTTAAGCACTTGGTAAAAATATATGTAGTAGACACTAGATTTAAGCACATTTCAGTTAGTGATGTCTGAATTTGTTGTGTATATGGTTCTTCAATCACCAAATGAACTGACTTGAAATGAATTCATTAAAATGAACTCATTGACATTCATAATATATTCATAATGTAGTGATAGGGGTGGACCACTTGGAGTTAAACCATGTTCAAATTCTATCCATACATCTCTGAGTGAAAGGGAAACAGTCAGATGGTGTTAAAAAAATAATAGTAGCAGAAACAGTAATAAGCTTTAAGAAAACTGTATTTTCCTTAAAAATACTTGTTTCTGAATTTCAAAAATATAGATATTATAGGAGGAAATCTTCATTTTGAAATCATTTAAATTTAGTTTAAAAAGATAACTGCATTTACAGTGCTAGTTTACATAAAGCAGTGGTCAGAATTAAGAAAAAAATTATATAACTGAAATCCATAAATTAGCAAAATTTTGCCCCCAGTCCTAGTTTTCCCATACACATTTACTTTTAAAGGAGGAGAATTTCTGACTGTCTTGAACTGCTTTTAATAAGATGCAGCATTGGTAATTTTTTAAGAAGTAAAAATTAATAATGTGCTTTAGAAATTAAATTCTATAGCCTTTAAAACAGTTTGTTTCATTAAAAATTATGTTAAATTAATGGTTTTTTTTTTTTTTTTTTTCCTGTTAATAAATATTTTTTTTTTAGTTTGCACCTATTTATTTGTAAGCATATTTTTATTTTGAATATGTTTATTGAAGTAAGTTTATCTTAGTCAAAATACTGCTTTAAAATTCTACTAGAAGCACAGTAACAATTTTTTTTTTTTTTTTTTTTTTTTTTTTTTAAGGTGATAAGGCATATATGTGGCCAAAAAAACTTAGTTTAAAAATTCACTTAGTCACCTGTATAAGCTAAATCTGAATAATTTGTATATACGTATCAATAGCATGGAGATAGAGATTGTAATTCAGATTCAAATTACAGTATATTCCATATCAGCATATAAACAATAATATTAATTAATTTTAATTTAAATGAGTCAGTAAAAAAAATGTTCTTGAAGTGCTGTGATTTGTGTAAAGCCTTTTATTACTCAGCTTTGTAAACAAAGAAGAGACTTATATTCAGTTTTATGTTAATAGTTTGTAATTGTAATTCTGTCATAATTTTCATTTGATTAAATTTCACTCTCTCTCTTTTTTTAAACAAATAGATTACTGAATGCAAGAAAAAGGCAGAGGAAGAAGCTGATGCAGCTGCTGCATTAGAAGAACAGAAAAAGAAACTTTCTAAAGATGTTGATGTCTTGCAGCATAAATTAGATGAACTTCAAATAATCCATGATAAATTAGATAAATCAAAAAGGAAATTGCAGTCTGAGGTATATTGACATCAGAATTAACTTTCCTTTCTTCTGTATGATACTTTCTTCTGTTGATGGTTGGTAATATTCAGTTCAAATGACGATGTAGTCAAAATACTGAGATAAATTATAAATATTGGAATTTAATATATGTCTGGAAAAAAACGTTTGTGAGATATAACTTTTGTAAAATTTTCTTTCATACTGACCAATATTTATTTTAACTCAAACACAATATTTCATTTTTTCATACCAATTAGTGTATTTGCAGAATAGCAATATTTTAATCATTCCATTTCATGAAATAAATTATCTGCATTTAACGAGAGAATGGTCCAAACTGTTCAACACAGTTAATAAATTATTTAAAGTATTATTGTATTTTGTAATATTTTAATGTAATGTAATATAAAATGTTAAAAAATACTACCTTTAATTTTTGTTAATAATGATAAAAAAAAGGCTAAAATGATGCTTCTATCTAATGAAAACTTGCCAATTTTTTATTATTATTTAAAAAAATCATTTTCTTAATTTGCTACTTCAGTAAATGAATTTTTCATATAAATCTGATATGGTAAGTGAATGCTTTTCATAACATTATGCTTTTTTACCCCAAAAGGAGTATTAGTCTCTAAACATGATTTTATGTTGTTTTACTCAATGTCTGTTGCCCTTAAATAAAAGTAAAATATTAGTCTTTCATATTTCATATATCTGTTATTTACTGACAAACTAAATTATTTTAAAGAAGTAGGTGCAGCTTGTATAAAAAATAATTTTTTACTCTTCAATCTGATTTGTTTAAATAAAAAGGCCTTTAATTCATGATATATCTAATTCAAAAAGTTAAGTATTTTTCTAGAATTGCATAACATATTTTTTATTTTTTAAATATACAAAAGGTATAAAATGTTCCCTTGTTAGTCTGAAGGCATATTTGTATAATATCTTACAAAATGTTTTGCTATTCCACCTGAGCTATATCTATCGATAATCTCTACTAGTAAACTGTATTAAACTCTAAAAGAGCTCTTTGGGGGATTGTTAAAATCTGATCCCTTTCAAATTCTTTTTTTTTTTTTTTTTTCTTCTAATCCCTGAAATTTAATTATTTGTACTGTCGAAATAGTAAAAAATAATGTGTGATTGCCTGTATATGTGTCACAACTCAGAAATGATAGTAAAGTAAATGCGTATCAAAGAAAAAATTTGCAGACATGAGTGATTTAAATTATTTCCTTTTTTTTATGGTTGACACACATTTTTCATTAATCTATGATTTCCTGTTATGTTCCGGGTCACCATTATGGTGATTTCCGGTTATGTTTTTACCACCAATCCTCGAATTCCATATCACAGATTTATGTTCCTACTGCATTGATATAAATATTAACGAGACATAGTGCACAATAAAAATTAAGCTTTATTTCGGAACTTCGCGCACACTGCCCGACAGCCTGCCTGTTTCGCTCTGCTCGCTACTCGTAAAAAACTTCTCCTCTAGGGTTGCCACACTTATCGGAGGGCGCAAGGCGCGCTCCTTATCGCCATCACCACAAATCCAACACAAATAATGCAATATATGTAACCAACAATTTTGGTAGCTTAGCACATCATAGTGCAATGAATGATGCAGAGAAGCGAGCAATGGTGTGTTACTTTGAAGCAAACAGGTGGGAAATGATGCATATAGAAGAAATCTGGAAGATAATTCAAAAGATTTGGTTCTGAATAGAAACCTTTTTCAGTAATTAGGTGAAAGGCATCTGCATTGCAGTGTTACATAAGATGGTATGATGTGGAATAATTTTGAAATGGTGCAGTTTAGATTGATATATTATAAATAATTACTAATTTTGAGAGAGAAAGGCAAATTACCCAAAGTAAAATGCAAAATAAGAGGGACTATGTCCAATTAAAATTAGAAGTTTGCCTTACGTATTTTTATCTTTCACGTATGTGCATGCATACCTAAATGGGTATGTTTATTGTTTTAATGCATATCTTAATTTGTGTATAATTTGTTACTTTGAAATACTTTTTCTTGCATTTATTTTTAAAAAGGTTGAAGATCTAACTATAGAGCTTGATAACCAAAGGGCTAAAGTGTCTGATCTTGAGAAGCGGCAGAGGAAGTTTGATCAGTTGCTTGCAGAAGAGAAAGCTATATCTGAACGAATTGGACAAGAGAGGGACAATGCAGAACGTGAAGCCAGGGAAAAAGAAACTAAAATATTATCTCTCACTAGAGATCTTGAAGAAAGAGAAGAACGTATCGAAGAACTTGAAAGACTTAAAAAACAGTTGCAAGTTGAATTGGATGAATTAGTCAATAGCCAAGGAACAGCTGATAAAAATGTATGATTTTGCATTTTGTTTACTTAATTATAAATATGTGCAACATATATGTTTATTAACATAATTGCTTTAGGAAATAGATGATTTATCTGTAATACAATTCTTTACGTACAGATATTATTGTAAGTATGTACTGTATGCAGCTGTTTAATGACAAAAACAAATACATTCTGAGTTTGGAATAAACCAAAAATTAACTATGTGGAGTTAATAAATTTTCATTTTCACCATCTCAGAGTGATTCTTCTTTTAATTTAATTTTTGTGAGGAAATCAAAATATATATATATATTTAAGACATAAAGGAATACTTTATTTATATGTCTGCCAAAAGATTTTTTTTAACTAGATGATTTATTGATTTGTTTTTAAAACTGTGGAATTATGTATTCACAGCCTGTACTGTACAGAGCAATGCAACTGTATCACCGTAGGAAAAAATATATGGAAGTTTTAAAAATAATAATTCCTTTATTCTTTAATGATCATGTGAATCATCAAATAATCTGAACTAAATAACTTACTAACTGTTCATTTAATTAAGGTTAAAAAATTTAATTTATATTTAAAGTATAATTATTGTTGAATAAAATTATACAGGTACACGAGTTAGAAAAGGCTAAAAGGTTATTGGAAGGTCAATTGGAAGAACAAAAACATCAGATAGAAGAACTTGAAGATGAATTGCAGTTAACAGAAGATTCCAAACTGAGATTAGAGGTCAATATGCAAGCACTTAAAGCACAACTTGAACGAGATTTACAGGCCAGAGATGAACAAAATGAAGAAAAGAGAAAATCTCTCATTAAACAGGTTAGTTTATATGCTGTCAGTCTATTTCTATGTTTTAAAATTCTAATTTGTCAATAATATATTTGATGGGATCCTGGAACAATAGAATGAAATACTTTTATTGCATATGCATTTCACTTTCTTTTGATTAAGTCTATTCATCTTGGACAATAAGCTTTACTACTTTATATGTAGCTCTAGAATTTAATTCTGCCAAACAAAAAAATTGTAATAAGATAAATGTTTCCTTTTTTTTTTTAATATTAAATTTGTTATATAAGTGCATTTCGAGTTATGTTTGCTTCTGTGTGAAATTATTTACCTTTTGATGTAATACAAGTACCATGTATTTATGAATGTAAGTCAAGAGTGCATTTTCTTGTTAAAAAATATACCCAAAATTCAAAACCCATTTATAAGCCAAAAAGGGGGGTACCTGCAATGTTCAAACATGTCTCCATGAGAGAGAAAATATTGTCGAGCGACTAAAACGTGTGGAATATCTTCCAGTCAAATCACTAGATGCCAATAGCAATATTTTTTAATTCTAATAACCATATCTGAAGTTAGCACATTTCTTTTTTCTATTCATTTATTCTCAGGCATACAGTCTATGGTATCTGTGCTAATCTTGTTTTCTGTATCAAATTATCCTTTGCCTAGAAAATGAGTGAGAGAAATTATATGGAAAATTTCAAACCATAGGTCATCACATGAGTTGAAACATTATGGTTGTTCGATATTTCCCCGTAAATGAAAAATAGGTTCCATAGAGGAGAAAGTTGGGCACAAATTTTGCCAGGATCAGATTTTTCATTTTGGTGACAATGCAAAAATCAGCATAATAAACAGTTCTGAAAATGGTACAATTCATTTTCATAAAACAAATAACCCATTTCATTTAAAATTAATTTTCTCATAAACTTCAGTATAAATTAAATAAAGAAGGGCAACATTTGGCAGTTTTTTGCTTGCACCTAGTTAATGGAAAAGTACCTATATATATATATTCAAGACACCTTCTTTCAACTCTTTACACAATAAGAAACAACTCTATAATCTAATTAAAAAACAACAAGATAATTTTATCATTACAAAAATTGACAAAGTTTTGAAAAAAGTTTTACTTCGACTTTCTACACAAAGAACTGAATAGTAATTGCACTTACCAAAAAATTACTACCAACACCAAAATTCTGATCAATAAATTTAATGCACCACATAAAAGACTTAAGATACATTCCCGGAACTATAATAACAGATTTACAAATCTCTATGCGTTTCCAAAATTTCATAAGTCTCCTATTAAATTCAGGTTCATTGCCAATAGTACCAAAAGTTATCTTAAAGAAATAGATTATCTTTTTGCAAAAAAACTTCGTTTAATATGTGACTTGATTAATAACTATGATTTTAAGGATCTGCATTGCAATTGGATGATTTCAAGTAATGAGCTCGTGATTAAGACAATTAATTCACTTCAAATAGACCATATACGATGCTACGACTTCGAGAACCTTTATACTACCTTACCACTTGAAGAAACTTATACCAGCTTACTTGCTCTACCAGACTCCCTTTCGAGCGTGCTTTTCAATAATTTTATTCTCTTTAACAATAGCATCTTCAAACAAATTCAAGGGATCCCAATGGGTGGTAATTTTTCAAGCGCTGTCTGTGAATTATTCCTTTTCACAAAAGAATTAACCTTTGTCCGTTCACTAAATAAAGAAGAACATAAATTTTACCAACACATATATCGTTACATTGATGATATCATAGCCTTTAAAAACCGTAACAAAATAGAAGCTGCTAATATCTACCCAACTTGCTTAAAACTAAATAATATAAATACGGTGCAAAATAATGTAGTATACCTTGACCTAAATATTATTGATTACAATTTTATTAAAGTCTGTGACAAGAGGAGAGAATTCACTTTTCCTACACTAAAGTTAACCAACTGGAATTCTAATATTTTCAAAAGAATCATCATTAACACAATTTTTTCACAGCTACTTAGAATAAAAAGAATATGTAATACTACAGAACACTTACAAGAAGAAATACTTTACTTCGTCACAATTTTGAAAAATAACGAATTCCTCATAAAATGATTAAAAATACCTTAAAAAAAGCTGGCATTAGCCTTACCAATTTTTAGATAATTTGTTTTGGATAATGAAATTTTATGCTCAAAGCCCAATGGGACGGTATAAAGTGGATGGCTGATTCAGATAATGTAATGTAAAAATTGTATAAATGTACAGATTATTCTCGTAAATACATTTTCTTTCCTCCAAAGATTTTGGCAGTATACTTTAATACTATTGTTTTAATAGTTTTAAATTACTTAGATGGCCAAATTCTACTATTATTAACAAATCGGGCCTTTTCATTTTTCATAGTAGCTTGACCGCTCTCTAGCTTGAAGAATGACGACTTTTATTAACAAATGACTTTTTTCCAATTTACTCTTTCTTTTGTGGCCAAAAATAAGTAATTTTAGCTGAATTAGCCGTTTTCACTTATTTGTAGCAGTTTTGTTCTTCTAACAAGACTGACACCATTTTGAGTTCTTTCCGTGTCTTTTCACGTCTGTCACACCCTCTATAAAAAAAAGGGGGGAAACAGGAGTTCCCGCCAAAACTACAATCTCAACCCATTGGCCTATGCAGTTTTATACATCACACGACGAGAAGGAAGGTTGGTAAGACACGGAGGGGATTTGCACCCTTTGAAATTTTTTCACGATGCTGAGGATGGCACCTCACGGGTCAGTTTTTTTTTCGTTTCTTTTGTCTTTTTTTTTTTTTTTTTGTCCTAATAAGACCCAACGACGTTTGTATTCTTGCAAATTTAATTGCATTTTAATTTGACTACAGCACCATTCTCTTTATAAAAGTTCTATCTTCTTTAAGCTCTGCAGCACCAGCCCGTACGTTGTTGTAATTTTTTGACTAATAACAGACCACTATTTATTTTATTTTGATTTTAATATTACATTGCTCGGAGTAGCAATTACATTCTTAACACCCTAATGTGTTTTTCAGCGGACGCATCGGGAAAAAGGAACAGAGCAGTGAAGCTCTTTTGGAATTATTCGGGACTTTTCATGTTTTAATGAAAACAAGATTGCAAGATTGCAAGATTTATTCGGGACTTTGACAAGATGTTCAAGATTTATTCGGGACTTTTCATGTTTTATAAAAAAATTTTTCACATCAAACAAGAGCTTTAATGGTCTTTTTCGGAGAAACGCGTAATGGTATTTAGCCTAGTTCGTACAATCAGTCATTTTTCCCTTGAAAAGCCTGGCAGAGGGTACGAGTGGGTTAATTTACCATTTTCCGTTTTGTAATTATTGTATTTTTGTATTTTAGCAATTTTTGTTTTCATTATAATTTTCGCATTTTATGTTTTGGTATATTTTTTTCCGTCAATCTATTTTTTTATGTGTATTAACTTTTCATATATATTTTTTCCGTCAATCTATTTTTTATATGTATTAACTTTTCACATATCACAACGGTCAGATTTTTTTTCGTGCATTCACATGTCTTCCAACATTAATTTTAACGTTTTTTCGCGTGTTTACAATTTTTTTTCCAGTTTTTTCAGATAAGTTTTTTTTATAAAATTCTTCTTAGTTCATATTTTAGTAATACAGCGTTGAACTATTTCGTGGAGCTACAGCTCCTGGTAACTTTTTAGCAAGATCACTGCAATGTTTCTACCTACTATTATATATATATATATATACTTTTTTTTTTTTTTTTTTTTTTTTTTTTTTGCGAGATCTATATGTAAGCCAACTTCTGTAATTTAGCTTCAGAAAAAGTTCCAAAAAATTTTGTCTTCCATTATAAAAGTATGGTAATTTTTAGGGGGAGTCGTAGTCTAAATTTTAATGGTTTTTCTCATTTTTTTAAAATTACTTATAGTTTTTTTTATTAACTGAAAAAGAATGCATATATCTTTTTTGTTCGTACCTGTAGGCTCGTGATCTTGAAGCAGAGCTTGAAGATGAACGTAAACAACGTGCTGCAGCAATTGCTGCGAGGAAAAAGCTGGAGAGTGATTATAAAGATATGGAACAACAGTTAGAAATTGCCAATAAAGTTAAAGAAGATTCTCTGAGGCAGTTAAAAAAATTACAGGTATTCATGTGTTTATATATTATATGTAGATTAATCTAATCAATAGTGTAATTATTTTATTTCTTTCTGAGATGCACCTTTTTCCTCCATGTAAACATTACTAAAAGGGGAATGTTGTTTTTTGTTACATATGGCTTTATTGGAAAGATCAGTCCAAGCATATAAAACAGCTCAAGTGTCACACAAGAACAATGATAAATACCATAATTTCTAGAAGAAACTCTGCGGCGTTTACATGTTTAAAACTTGAATTTTCAGCGGGTGCGGCGTTTAGGTGCACTAAAAATAAAATATTTCCTATGATGGTCATTGTGCTTAGTTTGAATAACTTTGTCATTGCACATAATTTGGATGGCCTTGTCATTGTACATAGACTGGTGCTGTTCCCACACAAAAGACCACTCAGTTGCTTTTTGCAAACATTATTTTGTTTACATTCTTTCCCTTGAACAGACCTACATGCCTTATTCACCCTAAACAGGATCTCAGAATAATAACATTCTTCCCCCTTTCAAATCAGCATTCTCATCATTTTGAATAGTCTCTCTCCTCTGCCATTTAATGAATCTTCCAGGAACCATCCTCTCCCCCACCCCTGCCTTTTCTGCAATTTTTTTCAAAGGCGGACATGACTCCACCTGCCTCGCAATAAGGAACTCTGACTCTGACCTATTTCTCCTTCAACATGAATCAATTTTTCTTGGCATTCTGCCAGATACAGATCCCATCAGTTTGGGTACAAGTATATGTTGGATAGTTTTTAAGGGAGCGGAAAATTTTTGAAAATGGCATCTAAACGGCACAGAAGCTATACTGCTGGTTTTAAGCTTAATGTAATTTCACGGGCTGAACAAAGTGGAAATAGAGCAGCAGCTCGAGAGTTTGAAGTGGACGAGTTCAACGTTGTATTTGACGTTGTAGAACTGAAAAAGAACTTAAAAATATGCCACAACAGAAACGAGCCAAAAGAAGTGGTATTGGCCAGATCTAGAGGACGACCTTGCAAACTGGATAAAGGAGCAACGAGGAAAGGGAATGGCTATTTCGACTGTAAAAATTCGCTTACAAGAAAATTTATAGCATAACAAATAAACATAAATGATTTCAAAGGAGGGCCTTGCTGTTGTAGCAGATTTATGAAAAGATAAAATATTTCTGGGCATACTAGAACAACAGTCGGACAACAATTACCAATGGACTGGCAGGATAAAAAAGCATCTTTTCTAAAATATGTAACAGATTCGGTCACAGATAATAAATATGGATGAAACGCCTTTAGCTTTCGACTCTCCTGCAAACAGAACTGGTGCAAAAACTGTATCTGTGCTTAAGACAGGGCATGAAAGAACGTCATTTACATGTGTGTTAGCTTGTGCCGCAAACAGTGACAAGCTAAAGCCGATGATCATTTTTAAACGAAAAACTATTCCGAAGGGAGAGTTTCCTAATGACGTAATTATTTGTCAAATGAGAATGGCTGGATGTGCGAAACAATCATGCATGAGTGGCTACAAAAAAGTTTGGCAGTGTCGTAAGGGATCTTTTTTCCAACCAAAAAGGTTATTGACAATGGATTCGATGCGAGCTCGTTTACTTGAGTCAGTGAAATAATTCCTGGTAGCAATAATTCCTGGTGGTTTGACAAAAATCTTACAACTATTAGATTTGTCATGTAATAAATCCTTCAAAGCTGAAGTCCGAAAGCAGTGGAGTGTTGGATGAGTGAAGGTTTGCATACATATACCAAAAGCGGTAAAATGCGTAGAGCATCTTATGAAGAAGTTGCGAAGTGGGTAGGAAGTGCCTGGAAATCGGTAAAAACATCGTCAACGATAGCAGGGTTCAAAGAAGCTGAAATTATATCCTTAGATAAAGAGACTAAACCAGGAGAATGAATGTGATGATCTGGAAGACTTGGACTTAGATCAGGACTTACTAAATATTTTTAATTCAGATAGTGAAGAATCAGGTTTTGATGGCTTCATATGATGTATAGTTTGCTGTAATTCCTTTTGTAAGTAAAATTTAAAATTTTCTTTTGTCATCCAAATTTAATATTTCGTTGTTGCAACATTTTTTATAATATAGTCTGAGTATTACAAATATGGACTTCTTTAGTGGGTAAATATAAGTATATTCATAAACGTAAATATATTTTCAACATTTCTTACCTTTAGTTTGAGTTCTGGTTTCATTTCATGCATTTTTCTTAACTGATATGTCATATATCAGGACATAGGCCGAGATTTTGCAACTATATGGCCCACGACGGTGTCACGCGCAATTTAATCTATTGCGGCGTTTCTGTGTAATTTTTATTTTTTCCCCGCCATTTTTCTCGACTGTGGCATTTACGCTGATGCGGCCTTTCTTCCAGAAATTACAGTAATAAAAAAGAACAAACATTTATAAAGTAAGAACCAGAATAAATGAACATGGGAACAAAAGTAAAAAGTTAAAAATTTAAACAAGGAAATGCCTGAATTAAACAACAAGGAAATGAATGTAAGAGATATACGAGGGCCATCCAGGAAGTAGATTACGTTTCCGTCTGTGTCCGCTAGGGACGGGGCTAGCGCGGCCATCTTGGGGTCAGAGCGTTGCGCAGCTCAGTCTGCATCTAGCCGTGCTAGTGAGAGGTTCGTGCTGTGCTCCGTTCAGATACTGTGACGGTTTGAAATGTCTGCGTTAATTGAAAATCCCACGAGCTGCGAGGTGCACTCAGTAATAAGGTTTCTGACTGCAAAAAACTGTAAACCGATAGAAATCTATCGGCAGCTTCGTGAAGTGTATGGGGAAACATTATCACTGAAGGTGGAGTGCGTCAGTGGGTCATAAGATTTCAAAATGGCCGAACCAATGTTCACGACGAAGATCGAAGTGGGGAGACCCAGCATAGTGACCGCCGAACTTCTCGGAAAAAGTCGATGCTAAAGTCCGTGAAAATCGAAATTTCACAATAACGGAACTTTCTTTGAGTTTTCCACAAATTTCGCGAAGTTTGTTGCACGAAATCATCAGCGAAACGAAAAGCTTGGTTACCCACAAAGTTTTGTGCAAGATGGAAGGCAAGAAAGAAGAAGAGGTAACGAAGTGGTTGAAGGCGCAGGCGGCGGCCGAATTTTTCGACGAAGGAATTTCCAAGCTCATACATCGCTACGATAAATGCCTTAATTTGTATGGTGACTATGTAGAAAAGTAGTATTTGAGTGTGGCTTTCATCTGTATATAATAAAATTTGTTTCCTATACTTTGTTTATTTTTTTATTCCAAAACGTAATCTACTTTCTGGATAGCCCTCGTAGACTTTACAAGAAGTTCATGAAAGCATTCCAGTATAGTTTATTTATCTCACCACGTTTCTGAGACTCTTTATCCAGTTCTGGGCATATAAGAAGATGTTCTGCATTTATGATGCCTGAATTTCTAATTTGACATAAACTAGATGGAAGGATGCCAATTTTATTAAGATGATGTGCCATGTAACCATGACCTGTTTGCAGTCTGAAGTTTGCCACAGCCTCTTGACGGGCTTCTGACAAAACTTTTTCATGTGTCTGGAATGTTAGCCCAGGATTTGCCTGTTGATTTTGCTGTTTGGTCAAATTGAAGAGTATCCATTAATTTCTCAAAAATATGCTTTTTAAGTGGACTCTGGAGGAAGTAGTTTGCTGTCTTGTGGCCCTAGTGTTCCTCTCTTGGCTTGTGAGTGTGCCTTTTCTTTACCCTGTATACCTACATGTAAAAGGATCCATTTTGTCTTATTTCTAAGATAATCTGCATATCTGTGTCATGATTTATAACTGCAGCTTAGATGGCTGCTTTAGAATTGACTAGAATAACTGCTTTAGAGAAACAATCGGTCTTTATCTTGAGGTTTTCCAGAGCCAGTGAGATTGCGAGGATTTCTGCATCAAAATTCGACATGAAGTGTCTCACTGGAGTACATTGAGAAAATTGACCCTCATATTATGCATTCTTTGAATAATCTATTGAAAAAAATAAAAAATACAGTGAGTGAATATGATAATACTTATATATTTATTAACTTAAATTATCACTTGGTATACTTACCAAGCACATTTCCGTATTTTTTCTCTAATGTTAATTTTGTAATTAAAATTAGATCTAATTCAGTGCAATGTTTGTATAATTTGTTCTGGATAATATTCAAATTCTAGACATATTTAATGTACTTATTAGAAAGACATGCTCTGCCACATATTTATTTTTTATATGATTAGACACAAGTATTATTTAGAAATAGAAGTACTTACATATTATCCTGTTGGCTGTGAAAATTGGCTACCACTGAACCATGATAGTTGGCAAAGATCCCAACAAAATTGCACTATTGTTTCTACAAAATTCTGAAAAAATTAGTTCCTGTTTCTTTAATATACAGTCAGTAGTTGACCACTTTGTGAATAGATTTTCATTTATTTTATTAAGAATACTGTAAACTTTCTGAAGATAATTGCTCCAATCTATGACTGTTTTGTCAGCCATATTTAGCTGACGATATCATGCCCATTAATGTATACTTTTTGAATTGATCCCATAATTTTGAAAATAATATACTGCAGAAAACTAATCCCAGATTTTATTCTCCTCCCCCCCAAATGCAAGACATTAACAGTTAATTTATATCCTTGTTCATAAAAACAAAACGAAGCTTATTGAGAGTCAGTTGGGGTTTCATCAAACGAATGCCTGGATTGTAGTTATGTCACTCTTACCCCTAATTGGCACTAAACAAGTTGCTTGGTGATAGTTTCATGGCCAACAAAACAATATGTAGGTACCTAAAATATATTGCTTTATACAAATTGAGAATATTTGTTAAATTCAAATTATGTATATATATAGTTTGAAAGTTTGAAATATAGGTACCTAAAATATATTGCTTTATACGAATCGAGAATATTTGTTAAATTCAAATTGTGATATATATATATATATATAGTTTGAAAGTTTTCAAACAAGCTGTAATTCATCATGATTTTTAAGTAACTTACAATAAACACATTTCATAGATATATAAAATATTTTTAATATTTATAAGGCTCAAATGAAAGATTATCAACGAGAAGTTGAGGAATCCCGTTTAGCCAAAGAAGAATTAACTTTACAAGCCAAAGAAGCTGAGAAAAAGCAAAAAACGTTGGAAGCAGATTTAATTCAGCTTCAAGAAGATTTGGCCAGTTCGGAAAGAGCAAGGAAGGCTGCGGAAGCTGAAAGAGATGAATTACATGAGGAGATAAATAGCAGTGCATCAAAAGGGTAAATTATATTCAAATGCTTATAAGATCCAGTAGATTTTAGTTTCTCTGCCTTGCTCTAGGATTCTTGTTGCCTTAGTATAATATTCCTTGTATCCTACATAGTAGTATCATTGTTTATAATTTTTCATTTATAGGTGAAAAGGTAAACAATATTCGTATGTTTTTTATTTTCTCATTAAGATCGCTGATTAACAATTTAGAAACGTTAAAAATTTAGTTGTATTGCATAATGATCTGTTTTAAACTTCTCACTATATGGATGACAGCAATGTTTGTTAAATTAACTTTCTTTAATATAAAAATTAAGACATGTATTCATCTATTCTGTAACAGGGCTCAGAGGGATACACAGTTCACATACATAAACAATTTTTTTTTAGAGACTGATTTTTCATGAGTCTCATAATCTTTGTTGTAAATGTTTATATAACAATGAGCGCAGTAAGAAAAAGAAACAATTTTTCTACCTTTTCAGTAGCACAGTACCTCACCATAATCTTCATTTGGTTTTGAGTGATCCAGAGATTATACACCAAATAGTATGAAAATGTTCTTTAACATATTCACATATGAAGAGCCAGATAAAATGTTTTACAAATTATTATATGATTTTCATTTGAAGTTCAAGTAGTCATTAGATGAGACTGTTCTTTCAAATTAGCATAAAAAAGTGCAGTGTTACTAATCTTGTACTTCATTTTATAGAAGCACAATTAGAATAGAATGTTTATCCCTCTGGTGGTGATTAATCTTTAACTGCTGTGACAAATATTTTTTCATGTCTACTGTAAGCTGTCTTATAAATTGTTTAAAAAAAAAAACTCTTTAAAATAGATACTTTTTTACACCTGTATGAAAGCTAATTTATGAACAAATTACAAATATAAAAAGAATTTTAATTTAGTTATACCAGTTTTAAAAATATGTAATAATTTTAATCAATTTAAATATGAACTGCTTTATCATGTTCTATAGATTCTTTCCTTTATTTAAACCATCTGATGAACCATAAGCAATTCAATAAAAATAAAAATCTTACTTTTGAAATAATACACATAAATACCTCACATCCTATACCATCAGTCAACATATAAACAGTCAATATCTTTATGATTTGATTTGAAAATGGCAGAATAAAGCAATTTAATTTCCATTTCATTAATATCCATCAGTTCACACCTATTTTGATCAGAATATCTCATTCAGCATTTGTTGATTTTTACATTATTCCATTTCCTGATTAATTTGATCACTTTTTTTATCAAAAAACAAATTCTATGTGTCTTTGGGCTGTGTTTCAGAGCCTCTTTCTGCAGAATGTTTCAGACCAAGAAGTTAGATGATAAAATTGTGCTTTCGTGTTCATGCAGTACAATTTGACTCTTTTTTACACCACTTGAAATTATGTTTTCCATAAAAATTATGCTCTTGTGGGCAGTCACCTGAAACTTCATCCCTAAAAAGCTAAGATGCTAAGATTCCTCCCCCCTTTCTCCCCCACTCTGAGTAATAGCAAATAGAATAGTAATACCATAATAGCAAACATACTCTTCAGAATTTTTTATATATATATATATATATATATATAGTTGGGTTTGAAAGATGTTTTCTTATCGAGTTGAAGCCTAACTATCACTTATATGAAAGATGAGAATCAGGTAAATAATGTCTATCACACACAAAAACTGGTACACATCTGCTGTGAGCAATCTCCTAGATTGTTAAAATATTAAAAGAGAAAACATGTGGTAACTAAATGAAAAAGGGTAGGGACCATTTTCTATTTTTAGGGGTGAAAATAAGGTGCAGAAAGTGTGCAGTCTAGGAATGCACAGAGCTGTGAAAGGTTAATATTGTTTACCATTATTCTAACACATCATATATAAGTCAAAAAGTCATCATCTTGAGTTTATTGTGAAGATGTAAAATTAGGTACCACATGATTTCACATAATAGAATTTTAAAGTGGAGGGAATATTAATATGCCTTTTTAATCACCATGAAGCAACCCAGGATCGCTTTGTCCCCCCATTGCATAGTATCAGTGTTCAGAATGTGAATCATGTACCGGAATGCGATATGTTACAAAACAGTATGGAAACCAATAGAACAAGTAGTTTTATGCTAAAACCCTGATTTTATCATGGAACTTAAAAAGAAAATGAAAAGCAATCTATACATCAATCTATATATCTACAATCATTAGTAATGGAAACTTGAAAATTCTTTCAAGTGGCATAAATGCAAATACACAATAATATTTAAAAGTATAGTAAATTCTGAGATTTCCTTTTTTATGTAGTTTAGTAATATTTTCCAAAAAGCTTCATATTTGAGCATTTATTTATTCATAATACGGTTAATTTCTTAAAATTAAAGTTTCATTTTAGGTACAATATTTTACTTCTTTTTTGTCCAGGATTAGTTTTAATGTTTAATTTAAAGTCTTAGCCATTTGTCTTCCATTTTTCATTTTAATGAGCCAGAAGTGTTTTGCTCTTTTTCTTTTCCTTTCAATACTTTGCATTTAAATGATACAGACTTCTAAAAAGCTGTAATTTAATTACATTTTTCCCATTTTGCACCTTTGTATGTTCTTGTGCAGGCATCCGAACACATAATGTATATTCTTGCAGATTAAACATTCGGGCGCTTGCACATGAATATGGCATGAGTGATTTCAAAGTATAAACAGTAAAAACAGGGTTTGTACAAATCTTAAGAGCCTATAAAAGTCCTTAATGTCAACCAAAGATTCTTCATTTTAATTGTCTGAATTTTGTTTTCCTTACAACTGCCATTTTGAGTATTAATTAATATTTTGGAAGATTATTTTTTGGTGATTCACTGACAGATATGTATTTCTATACAAAATTTTTTCATTCGTAGATCTGTGGATTCTTCTACAATTTTTTTAAAACATTATAACATTGATAAATTTCATTAAAATAATGATAGTATATATTATTATATATAGCTCTTATATATTATTTAAGAAATAACATTAAAATAAAACTTATTTTTACCCTGTCATATTATAAAGTGACATCACTTTCTATTTTGATAACTATTATTGCACTATTTTTGAATCTGAAAAATAAACAAGGTAATAAATGTTATAAAGTACAATTTCTATAACACTTTTTTGAAAAAGTAAAACAGTTATAGTGATTATTTTAAAATTTCTTTTTTTATTATCTTTCATGTCAAAAGTTTTTCCACATGTACCTGTCTTGGAATATTCAGAATTCAAGTGTGTATCAGTTTTCACTATAAAATTCATTTTACACTTTTCTTCTCTGAGTTTGTTTTTTTATTTTTTATTTATTTTTTTTTCCCCCACTATTTTTTACATTGCACCTGAGAAGGATTTGAAGGCAAGATTCCCAACCATCAATTCCAGACAAATGTGACCAAATGAAAATGTCTTCATGCTGTTAACATATAATGGATGTGTTTTAGGAAATTTGTGATAAATTTCTAACTTTTGGAGAATTTTGGGATAAATAATAAAGACATATTTATTTTAATTTTCTACTTCTGATTCTAGAAGTCTGCCTCTTAACATGTTTGCCTTTCCTTTATTTCTTTTCGTTTTACCAGACGTAAGTATGGAAAATATGAAACTTCTAATATTACTTCTAAGCTTGTCACAGGGACAGGCATCTGCTGGAAGGAATTTTTCTGTTAATAAAGAAATTGAAAACTGGTGATTTAAAACAGTCATCTTATATATCTCAGCACATCATATACAGGGCTGGTCATTAAGCATTTTCCCACCTGATGCAATCTAATGTGGGTGCTAAATTCTACTGCCTGGTGCCTTCCAAATTCTAAAATTTTTGCCATTCCTAAATTCTGCTGCCCAGTGCCTGTCCTAAATTCTAAAAGTTTTGCATCCCTAGATTTTGTTTTGCAGTGCTTCACGAAATTCTAAACACCAGCCACACCAGCTCTGGTACAGGCTCGGACCATATATCATTTCATTATTTATTCTCAATGTTTGTATTATTTACTAAAAAAAATAAAATTAGCAGTTTCTTCTGTACAATCTAAATACAAGAACAGTTTTTTAAAATAACAGAAACCTTTGATTAAATCCAAAAATTTTAAGATGAAGAGGAAAACTTATTGAGGTAGACAGTGAATTACATAAAGAATAACAATTATTCCTCAAAGGTTTGTTTTTGAGACATTGACATGTTAGGAGATGAAGCAGAAACGTGGAAACATTGTTTTACTTACTGAAATAAATTTCTGATTGCTAAAAAAAGAAGGAAGTTGAAATGTTTTATAGACAAGACAAAATGTATAAAACATAAATGTACAAACATTTATGTATAAAACATAAATGTTTACATTTATGTATAAAACATAAATGTTTTATAGCTTTTAAGGTATAATTATTGTAATAATGTTATTTATTAAAGGCAATGAATTAGGGGATATAGTGGCTAAGTCAGAAGTGGAAATGTCCAGTCCTCCTGTTTCTCCTGTAAACACACAGAAGGCTATTATACTGAAAATGTTAATTATCTGGGATAGTAATATTAAGTCAGACATGGAGTCGGTTAGATATCGTAAGTAGAAGGCTCTTCAGACCAGACTAAGGATTGGTCACTGTAGACTTACTCCTTGGTATCTGCTGAGTGGGGAGAGTGAATCTGTACTGAATGTGAAATGCTTATATCCATCCAACCTATAGCTGACTCTCCACTTTTAAATTCTTCTTGTCATTTACATTTTTTAAATACAAACATTTCATTAACTACTTCGTTGGGACCAAAACTTCATTTTAATGCGTTTATGTTTTTTAATCAATTTGTTTTTTTTTTTTTTTTTTTTTTTTTTTTTTAGTTCATTTTAGAAAATGTTTTTGAATTTTCTAGTCATTTCATAGTTTTAAGTACTCATTTTATGAGGTATTTTGCACCACAGTGCATAATAATTTTGTTTAACATTTTAGTCTTACATAATTACATGGACAAAAACTAATTACAATATTAGTATACTACATACAATATTAGTAATACTTGAACAATATTACAATATTATTAATACTTACAATATTAGTAAGTATTAATAATATTGTAATATAATATTAACAATATTAGTAATACTTGAACACAAACTAATTACAATATTAGTTTGTGTTCAAGCTCCATGTATGTTTGGGTATATTTTGACTTACTGAATAATTAGTCCATTGTCTGGTGCATAACAATCATTTCTAACTTTGCACCATATCCAGACCAACTAACCTCAGGCCCCCGTTCCTAGCAAGGGTCAGCGAATAAAAGTACAGAGGTGGCCTCTCGTGATACCACGCCTAAATATTTTTAATTCATTAAATTCATTCTAAGTACTTGTCATATATAAGTACTTTTTATACAGTTTATTTGTCGTACGTAAGTACTTAGTGAGTATGAAATAAAAATTTTATTAATCATTGGGCTTTTATTTTTTTTATTTGGGGTGGTTAATCTTAGGAAATAATGCAGGTAGCCAGTGGCCTAGGAATGGCCCTAACTAACCATATTCCCCTGTCTGTTTATGGTGGGAATGATTACTGATTCTGTAAGAGTAATGTAGTTTCTAATATTTTACATCAGTGTAAAAAATACAAGCACTTTTTTCTTTATTCTGAATGATAAATGCATTATTATACATTGAAATTTTTAGACTCCCAGTGTACTTTGCTCGAAATATAATCTATTAGTTTTCGCAATTGTAGTCCATTTAGTAATTACTTTATCTATTGTCTGATAAAGCAAGTGCACATAGGAGAATTTAATTGTACTTTACAAATTATTCAAATGGTATTATAGATTACAGTAGTTTATTTTTTTCACTTATTAGAAATAATGGGAAAACATGCTTCTAAATTATTTAGTTTGTAATCTGGTTTTTATGAAAAATACAATTCATATACACAGAATCATATGAATGTTAAAGAAGTCCAGTGTTTGTTTCCCCAGTCATCTCTATTGTTATGAGCAAATTTCTAATTTCCTATACTATTTGTATTATGATGCTCATAAATATTTACAGGTCTCTGCTAGTAGATGAAAAGCGAAGGCTTGAGGCACGAATTCAGCAACTTGAAGAAGAAATGGAAGAAGAACAAGGGAATTCTGAAGCTTTACTAGAAAAGGCTAGGAAATCTCAGACACAAGTAAGTAACACTAGCTAATTTATAAATTTTACTTAAAATGATATGTACTACTTTACTTAAAATGAAAATTCACAAGAATGGGCAGTTATTAGAAAATGTTACATTAAGTTCTTTTTATTAAATATCATGTATAATCAACATGCTTAAGAAATGTCAGTTGCACATGTACCTATATATTTATATGTATATGTTGCATTTAAATTAAATATGCAATGCAACTGCATTTTGATATAAATTTCACTTCTGATGTATCCAAGAGAAAGATCATTTATAATTTTTTTAATTACCTTTAATAGAAATAAAATTCTTTGCTGTACTTTAAACTAACTAAAATTTGAAATAATAAAACATATAAAATTGTAATGTTTAGTGGTTTCCCCAAAAGGTTTTGATATTGTTGCTGACACAGAATAAAATTTGATTTTCTAAAAACTTTAAGATCTGCCAGGAGCAAATTTTACTTTGCTGTTTCTAAACTGAATGTAGCAATTTCTATATGTGAAAGCTTCTTCAAGGCCAATTTTTAATTGTACCAGTTCTGCCTCATGCACCATCATTATTGTTTTTGTGCAATATACAGTAATAAGCTCAATGAAATGTGAATTTAAAAAAAAAATATTATTTAGTTTTGTCCTTTAATTCTGCATGAAACTTGAATAATTCTTTTTGTGTTTTAGATAGAACAATTAACTGCTGAATTAGCATCTGAAAAAGCTACATCACAGATGTTAGAAAATAGCAGGATATTGTTAGAAAGACAGGTAAATTTAGTTTAATAATTTAATTTGAAAGCCCCCCCCCCCCGTTTGTTATTTGGCTTCCTTGAAATAGCCATATTTGCATTTATAATAAGTGTGTGTGTGAAATTTCTGCATTTTTTTGTTAACATACATTTTAATTCCTAATCATCCACTGTTCTGCTTTATCTCAATTAAGTATCTTATTGAACATTGATAGCATCCAAGACATAAAAATGCATGTTATTTGGTAGTCAAATAAATCAAACCAAACCATTTTTACTGGACTGTTTAAGTAGTAAAATCATGATAGAAAGTTCAATTTGTTGGGGTAAGAGTATATTTCCCATTATAACAATGCTCCAATTCATTCATCTGCAGTTACAATTACAAAATTTATTTAAATTAGTCGTAGAAAGCTGCTTTCTCTTGTACATTAAACCTTCTCAGACTATTATTGTTTTCAAACATGAAAAATATTCTTGCTAGTAAGAAATCTGTATCAGATTTGGTAGTCATATGCCCAGTTTGCAGACTTTGAGGAATCATATTTTAGGGAGGATGTGAAAAAATTAATATTGTTAAGTATATTGACTTTAATAGTAATTATGTAGAGAAATTATAAATAAATTCATTTTTTTCTCACTTTTATACATTTCACTGCTGTAGTGAAAATCTTTAAACAAGATCCATCTTTTTAATTCCTAAGAATTTGTAATATAAAGCTTCAAGAGAATGCTGTATAATTGGCTATGTAAGATGAGTAAATAAAAGAATGAAAAAGGACATAAATAACTTTTTCTTCCCTTCCTTATCAAATCGTACATATTTACAATATAGTGAAGAGAAGCATGTACCTAATAAAGTTGTGTTGTTTTTCTAGAACAAAGAATTAAAATTAAAACTTCAAGAGGTGGAAAGTTCTCAAAGAGCAAAATCAAAAACAGCTATAGCATCCTTAGAATCTAAACTTGGTCAGTTAGAAGAGCAATTAGAAGAAGAAACTAGGTATGTTTTTCATATTTATAATATAAAAATCAAGATCAAAGTTTAGATATATTAGTAGATGTCAGTTATAAACTCAGCTATAAGAATTTAAAATGCCATAGTGCAATTTTTGTTATTTCTTGAGGTTCAGATATTTATTATTTTGAAAAACAGGATGCAGTAGTAATTTCTGAAATTTTTATAATATGTTGGAGAAAATAGATCTGTAACTTCCAACAAAAAGAGAAATCTTTTTCAAGAAATTTTCAGCTAGTTCTCGGAACTTAACATCTACACTTCTAGTCAAGAAGGACTTTGTTACATAGTTAATAAGATTTGTTTTCATGCATGTTGAAAAATGTGCTCTGAGAATTTTGCTTTCAGTTACAGTTTTCCAGTGACATCACTGATATCTGTTATTTGATAGTATATAAATGATTCTAATGAAGCATCTTTAGTACTTTAAAAATAACCATTATTTCCTTTGGATTTCAATTGAGCTGTATAAAATTCTATTGTTTCCTTTTTGATGGTTATAGCAGAAGCAGTAAAAGTCATTACGCTCAAAAACATTGGCAAAAATAAGCATCACTGATACCTGAATGTTTAAATCTCAGTAGAGCCTTTGAGTATCCTGAAGCATTGTACTATTATCTGTTACACATTAGGCTAAGAAGTAAATGTTAGGGACTTAAACTGCTAACATCTGTGAAGTTCATTTTCTTTCTTAAGTGGTGGTAAAATCAAGAAGAAAAAAAAATATTGATTCAAAATTCTTTTCAGCAGTAAAAATTCATTAAAAAATTTTTATGAAAGTCTTATGAGAAAATCATAAATATTTCCTGGAGATGAATAAATAGACAGCTCCCAAGAAATAGTAATGTTGCATGATCCATGGAAAGCAGTTTGGCCTTTAATCCTTCATTCTCACTTAGGTTTTGTGCTCATTGATCTTACAGCAATGAATGATGTAGCTGTAGGATATACCATGTCTCTAAAACATATTTCTGAACTACATTTTTCATTGCCTCTTTGATTTCTTCACTATGAATATTGTAGTTAGAAGTTAAGAGCATGGTAGTTTATTTGTTAGGAAATTTCTGATGCTAATAAAGGTCATATAAAACATAGGAAGTTGTAGCATGCTTTATAACTTCTGCTGAGCTATTAAGAGAGAAGTTTCTAGACTTCTATATTCAAAAGTTGTTATTTACATATCTGAAATTATATTTTTTATATTGATATATGTATAGTCTCATAAGATTTAACTATTATCTGTGCATTATAAGAAGTCTTTACTAGGTAAGCAAAATTTTATTACATATTTGAATTTAATAACAGAAATATTATACCGTACAAAGTCTGTAATCGGGACGTCCATTATCCGGAATGATCTATAATCTGGACCTCAAAGCCACCACCTTTTTTTTGTGTGTGTGCTTTACTCATGTGTGTTTAGCACAAAAAGGGAAGTAACTTAAACAACTTGCATTGAACTAAATGTTTAATAAAGTAAACAAATAAATATTAAGCCTTTTTGTGTGTGTGTAAATTTTGATACTCTTTAGATCATAATTGCTCTTTATTTCATAAATTACGGTTTCACAATTTTAATTGTGTAATTTCTGCATGCCATCTTACCAGATTTAAATTGATGATCTATAATCCGGAAAAACCCTTAATCGGTAATCGCCGAAGTCCCGACGATTCCGGATTACAGACTTTGTACTGTATTCCCGTAATTTGTTTCGTGTGAAAAGGCTGGTAAATAAAAATTTGTTATCCATTGTAATTTACATCTTATAGGGAGAAACAAGTTCTTGCAAAATCTAGTCGAAAGCTTGAAAAGCGTGTCAAAGAATTATTGCTACAATTAGATGATGAACGCCGACACGCTGATCAGTACAAAGAACAGGTAAGAATGCCTCAAATTATGCCTTATAAAATTGTTTCTGTAATTTTATATGTATCTGATATTGAATAATTTATGCTTTTTTGAAATCTAGATATAAGACATGAAATAATTATATTTATTTCCCTGAGTTACATAATAATTCATTTCTAAATGGGTAACAGTAGTTTAGACAAATCTTTCTATAAACATGATATGAGTGTTAAAAGATTGCAGCACAAAGTTAATTTCTTCCAAAACAAATAAAGACCATATTCATTTGTTCTGAATAAAAATTTTTAATATGAACAAAATTTAAATTATTATACATGTGTGATTAATAACACCCTGCAGATATGTATAATTTACAACATGTTTATAAAATTAGGGTGTATATTGTCAAGTGAAAGAGTCTAAAGACTATAGAAAATCTTACATTAATTCTGGGTGGGGAAAGACATTTAGAAAAATGCAGTCATGAAAATACTTATTTCTTTTCTGGTTTTTGGTACTTGCTGTTTGCCCATAGTAATATCTATCATGTGTGATTAATAACACCCTGCAGATATGTATAATTTACAACATTTTTATAAAATTAGGGTTTATATTGTCAAGTGAAAGAGTCTAAAGACTGTAGAAAATCTTACTTTAATTCTGGGTGGAAAAAGATATTTAGAAAAATGCAGTCATGAAAATACTTATTTCTTTTCTGGTTTTTGGTACTTGCTGTTTACCCATAGTAATATCTTCACAGATCCTCATTTTAATTTTAATAATAACAGCATTTCAATTTTGAACCTGTCAGCTTTCTTTTCTATAGACTTAAGTTCAAATCCATCAGTTCCTTCAAAGAATTCTTTCACTGAATTTTAGAAGATCATAGAGTATGAATTCATGATCTTGGGACACATGTCCTCTAAAATACGTTTAGCACTGAGTTACTGAAAATAAAGCTTTTTTGCAATAACAATATTGAAAGAGGTGGAACATCTAAATTTTCTATTAAAATATTAGCTACTAAATTTTAAATCCCTGTGGGGGGGAAAAAGAATTCAATGATTAGACAATATACAAGGTACTGAAATTTTTCCAACAGTCTTTCACTGAGAATTCTAAATTTTGTTTTATGGTTGCACTCAAAGTGGGTTAAAAAATTGGTTATCTAATGTATTTTAACATCTTGATTGCTTTTTAAGTATACCAGTTGAAACTGTCATTCAAGGTAAAATGTAGAACTTCTACTCTTAGGCGAAAATCCAAAAAGTGTTGCATGCATACAGGTTTGTAATAGACTGAATGCAGAACCGATGATAACTTGATAAAATTTATTTTCACCAAAAGGAACATTTCACAGTTCTGGAATTTTCGACAAAAATACTCGTACAACTCTTTACAGTATCACAGAGTACAATCAGTAATTACACTTCAAACTACTAAGAACGTTAAACACAAAGCACAATGCAAAGTGCATCTAAAGGGCAAAGCCGTCTCAGATATCTCAGTACTCTTGACTTCAGCTCTGAAGTAACAACTGAGAAACTGATGCTGTCTCCGGCCTTATATAGTTTTCCCCTGCCACCAAGAAATCTCTAGTACTTTTTGCTTCTCGAAATTACTAGAAGACGTATGAGGGCCGGATGCAGTTACAGCTATTATAGGAATCAATTACAGTTTTTCAGTTAAAATATCCATTATAGTTATACAGGGACCTGACAAAAATGTCGTCTAGTTTGGCAATTTCTTGCCAAATTAGCGAGATAGCCATTTACTCAATGTTAAATAGTCTTGCCTGTGCATTCTTATTTTTCCAGCTGGCCATCATTTCTCTCAAGCTTTTCATGTTACATTACAATTCAGAAAAATACAACAGTTTCACATGTAATTTCACTAAAATTAATCTATCGACATACACAATTCGTTACAATATTTTAACATCTTAATTGTTTCCTAAGTTGCATCAGTTGAAACTGTATCGTTCATCATATAGAACTTTCACTTTTTAATAAAAATCCAAAATTCAAATGATTAAATAATAAATTACCATCATTAAATGCTACCATAAAAAGTAAGTTTTAAGATTTAGTAATGCTCAACTTCCAAGATACTTTAAACAGAAGCAATTATCCAAATATTAGAATTTGATTTTCAGATAACTGGAAAGCTAGACTTGATTTTAAAATTTCATATCATTCAGTGTTTTACAGTGTAAATTAGAAAACATTTTCTTTTTCAGTGTAACACATATTCTTTTCAGCATGTTTATCCAGAAAAGTTTTATTTAACCATCATTAAACATAGTCTTGGAAGAATATCCTCTTTTTTTTCTATCTCATCTTCATTCGATTGGAGAAGAAAGTGTTGCTTCTCTATAAACAATCACAGTTTTAACAGATACAAGGGTGGTGTGCTATTCATAGTATCGACTGAAATGATAACACAGCCATTGCTTGCAATGAAAGATTTTTCAGCTTACTTCATTCAGTTTTACAAAAGTTAGATATACTATCAATTACAGGTGATATTTTGGAAATTGTTTGTCATGTCACATTTTCAGTAATACTGTTGTTTCAGAAATAAGGCTGTATTCTTTCCAAATAATCACCAAGTTTATTGGATGAGCTTTTTCACATTTTTATGTTTATTTCATTTGTCCTCAGTCTCTTATTTCTTCCCTATTTCTTTGGAAAGTGTGTCAATTTCTAATTTTAAAAAGTCTTTTTTGTTGTTATTTTGTCTGTGGATATAGAGGCTTGCCTTTTGGTAACTCACATCAGTTAATAATAAGAATTAAAAAAAAAAGGGGGTGCCAGCATTAAAAAGTAATATAGAAACAAAAATTAATGCAGCATGAAAAATGAATTAGTTGTTTCTCATATGTAATGGGTTTAAAATGTCTTGCATATGTACCTAAACCTCCTCAAAAGATTCTTTTCCCTTCAGCATGGCCTAATGACATAAGGATGTGGTAAGTTTAAATAGCTTAAGTTGGAACTTTAAATTATCTTTAAATATGTATTACAAAGAGCTTGTGTTGTATTATATAGAGCTTGTATATGTATTACAGAGAGCTTCTGTGTCAGAAATGTTACCTGAATAATTTTTGTAGTCTCAAGATGTAATAATAGTCACGTAATAACTTCATGAATAGTGTTTTTAACTGAGTATTATGTTCATTATATTCATGATATTGTAGGATGCTGAGAATGTGAAATCATTGCATTTACTTTTTGGAAGATTGGTAAAATGCTGCAATAATATTTCAAGTACATAATTGTCAAGTGAATACTTGTTGGTAATAATAAAATAATGGATAATGAATATGTTTAATGCATTCTAAACATTGAAATACACAAAGCTGTGATAGCTTTGTGCTTAATATACTCACGTAAAACATTATTATGTACACACAAATTTTTAAAAAAATATATAAATAGAAATTCTACATGATAAAGATAGAAAGTATTATATTTCAGTGAAACATTTTTAGAAAGTGTTTGCTGCATTGTTACTTTGTCAGTTTCTATAAAATTATGTTTTTCATCTGTAATAACTGTTATTTTATGCTTGCAGTTAGAAAAAGCCAATAACCGAATGAAAAACTTAAAGAGGCAGTTGGATGAATCAGAGGAGGAATGTTCTAGAGAAAAGGCAGCAAAGAGGAAAGTACAAAGAGAACTTGAAGATCTCCATGAAAATTGTGAAGGTTTGCAAAGAGAGGTCACTAATTTAAAAAACAAAATGAGGTAAGTTATTTTCAGTTTGTTATAAGTTGTGAAATACGATCCACAAAATTCAAAAGTTGAGATTGTCATTAGCTTACATTACATATTTCAAACTTAATTTTTAAAAATTTTATTGAAGTACAGAATTTTAATTTTCATGAAATAAATTCGCTAAAACATTTAATATATGTAACTTTTAGTTTTTATGAGAACACTGTGTTGAGCAGATTTATATGTTTAAACATTGATTGCTTGTGTACATGTAATCCATTGCATCTGGCAGTATTTTCAGTGAAATAACTTTAGAACTTCAATTATCCATGTTCTTTGTCTGTTCAAAGGATATTTCAAGGCTATTTTGTCTGATCTCACAGTATACAAGAAACTAGAAAGAACTGGTGTTGTACTTCAAAACCATATGAAAGCAACTGCTGCACTATTGATAGTTTGTGCAGGTAATATTGAAGGATATTTCACAAGAACATTGGAAAATTTAATTGTGGCATATCCAATGTCTGTGCTACATGAAACGTGTGCTGGGATTAAAGTTTGAAACTCCCGCCGCTTGAACTACAACCTCATGTAGAACCGTGTTACTATCTACTTCCAGGCTGAATATCAAACAATATGATTGCGTCAAATTTCATTATAATTTCTTGTAGCTGTTTAGCAGTGATTGGGCCTGTTGGAGCCCTTTCAAAGTCTGAAAATTTTCTAAAGCAACTGATATGGAACTGCTGTTTTGTAAAGGATTTTAACTAACAAAGCATGATCATGCAAATTTAAGATCATGGTGAGTGCTGACCTTACTAAAAACAAATTCTTGTGATGTAGCTGTTCCTCAATAGACACTTATGCCGGCTAGCTTTAAAAGGATTTATTAACAGAGCACACAGGAATGGTTACAAACAAAAGAAATATATATAAAAATGAAACATAAACGAAATGGAACATCAAACATTGAGAATAACATAACATAGTAAGCTATCATCATGGCGGCTGGAGGTCGACTGACGTTTTTTCATATCGCCACGAGATGGCGTTTAAATAAAATAGTTCGGTTACAGTTCATGAGTTCATGGCGTGAATAAAATAGTTCAATTACACTTAAATAGGTCTGTTACATCCTCCCCCTCTGACTTCGTAGACGTCTCGGCAAGAAGTCAGGAACTGACCTTTGTCTACTTTGTGCAGCGGGAGGAGAATCAGATGAATGGGCTCCAGTTTGACGAGGAATAGATTTTGCGTCACCAGCACCTTGTGCAACATGTGCAGATTCGGATGGTATTACACGTTTCGGGCGTCCTCTTTTCTTTAAGGGAACCACTGGAATTATACGAGCTGAGTTTTGCTTATTTCGATCTTGATATGGTTTCAAGGCTGAAACATGATACTTGCCGAGAATTTTGTCTGGTTCATGAGGATCGGCAATATCATAAGTGGTTGGAGATCTTGTAAGTCACATAAGGACCATCTCTCTTGGGCATGAATTTAGCAGTTTTCTTCAGTGGACCTTTGCTGATTGGGTGGACGGTGACCCAAACTTTATCTCCAGGAACGAATTTCGGTGTTTCTCTTCGTTTTATGTCAGCATATCGTTTCTGCTTATCTTGATGCAATTCGACTCTTTCTCGTACCTGTTGTACATTTCTTGCAAAACGTTTCAAATATGGAGTAATTTCGGGAACAAAATTATCGTTCTCAATTACGGCCTTTTTATCATGCTTTACATCATCTAAGGTTCGTAACTCTCGTGCAAATTGAAGAAAAGAAGCAGAATGTCCAGTTGAATCACATTTGGCTGTATTCAAAGCAAACCTTATTAATGGCAGTTTATCCTTCCATGACTGATGGTCGTTACCAACAAGTATTGCTAAACGTGGTTTCAGATCTCTATTCTTCCTTTTTCAACTGGGTTAGATTGTGGGTGATAGACAGGAGTAAGACTTTGATCAATGTTCAAGATATAGCATAGTTGTTGCATAACAGCACTAGTAAACTGGGTACCATTATCACTTATTATTTTCCTGGGTAACCCAAATCGAAGGGCAACTTCCTCCAAAAGAATAGTGGCACATTCTCTGGCCGTGGCTTCCTTTAAAGCAAATAGTTCTGTCCACTTCGTAGCACAGTCCTGCACAATAAAAATCCATTTTTCACCAGACGGTGTTTCAGGAAGGGGAACCGAAAAGATCAATTGACAAGGTCTTCAAAACGTTGAGCATAGACTGGAGTTTGAAGTAAGCCAGATGGCTTTTGATTAGTGGTTTCTCCCCCTACTTTGAAGACAGTGTGATATTTGTTAAGCAATGCATCAGTTGCAAGCCGTTGGGCTGTAGTTAATTGCTGTCCTTCATTTTTCTCGTAGTCGGCAGTTGTTTACAACAACTGGGGTTTCTTCCAGTACTTGGGATTGATGAGGTTTCACGAAGCTATATTTTTCTTCGAGGTTCATCAGAAAAGTTCCACTTATTTTCAGCAAGATTTAAAACAATTTTAGCTTTTTGAAGAAAGTCAGTTCCTAACAGAGTCGAGTTATTTTTGGCATCAGGCAACACAAGGAGCGGAGTTTTGAACTCTCTGCCTTCGAGAAGAATGATTTGTTCGGTGCGAAGTACCTCTTTTTCAGATACCAAACCATCAGCGAAAGACACCTGTAGTGTTGTCTTTTCAAATACTGCATCTTGTTTTTGCAGAATATGATAGAGGGATTCACTTGCAATTGAGTGACTAGCACCAGTGTCGGCGAAAGCTGTACCGGAAACACCACCAATACTAATTGGAAAATACAGCAGTCCGAGTGGAAGATAAACAGGATCGGATTTGGATAGTGCCAAAAATTTGATGAATTTGAAGTCTTTGGGGGGTTACAGTCTGGACATTTAGACTTGATAAAACCAGTTTTTCCGCACCCATAGCATGTTAAAGGAGGTCGCTTTTCCTCTGTTTGTTGCTGAACACGATTTGAAAAGGTTTTATGAGTTTCCTGTATGTCATTTGTTCGATTTTCTACTTTGTGTTTGGATGGATTAGTCGATTTGTAAGAATAGTTCCGCCTGCCAGGAAGTTCAGTTTTATAGTTCGTATTTTTAACACGTACAGCTTCATAATCATCCAATTTCTGTACTAATTCAGATGAACTCTTTATTTTTCCCCAAGTATCAATAAAATGCTCCTTAACGTCACTACTGACTCTTCTTTTAAGCTGATCCGTCAGGACCAAGTCTTTGAGTGATTCAAAGTCTGTAACATCGAGACTATGCAGCCACTCTTCGAGATAATTGTTTAATTCGTAAGTAAAATCTTTCCATAAAGACCCAGGGTGTTTTTGGTGTGTAGTAAGTTTAATTCGAAATGATTCAGCATTTAATTTGAATCTTTGTAGCAGAATCTTCTTGATGTAAGAATAATCTTCTAATTTGTCTTTTGGTTCTCTTAAGGCAGAAGAGGTAGGAGATGAGTGATGTAATCTATTTGTTTTATATTAACTTTCTCACATTGTCTTTCAAAAATTTGCAGGTAGGTTGCAATGTCAGAAGTTACTGTAAATTTAGGGATTAGGTGTTGAATATTGGTTCCAATAGCTGCATTTAAAGCAAAGGCGGCATAGTTAGGGTTTGAGCTAGCAGCTGCCAGGTTTAATTTTAAACGTTCCAATTCTAATAAAGTTCTTGTTCTTTCTTTTCTTTGACGTGTCTCCAGATCGTTGCTTTCACGTTGTTTTTGTTGTCTAGTTTCGATTAAAGTTTCCAGAAGATTCCTGGTAAAAGCCTCATCATAAGTGTCAGAATTGACAATAAGATCTTTAAGATCTATTCAGTTCTGCAGCGAGAGTTTTTAAATCCTCTTTTCGTGCTTTGGCAAGGTAAGCCATAATTATATGAGAGGTCAGGGGGGAGGGAAAAGATGAAGTTGAATTTGTTGTTATTTCGATTTTATTCACAATACAGTATTTTAGAATTAATAATTGTACCTTTAAGTAAAATGTATATATCCCTATTAAACAGCATGTATGATTGTAAACAATGTTACTCGTACATTTATATACCACTATTAAACAGTATTTATAAATGTAAACAATAATACTCACAAAGTTTATTATTTCGGAGTCGTAAAAATATCATAAAATGCCCTCATAAATTCAACTTGTATCAAGAAAATAACATATAATAAATTGCTCAAAAATTGTTTACTACTTAGCAAAACATACAAAACATACATAAATGTCTTACCATAAGCTTTTATATTTAAGCTGAATTCTTCGAAATCTTAATCTTAACAAAATATTAAGCTGATTAAGCAACACACACTTAGTAACTCTTTTACTTTATTTAAATAGTCATTCGATTTTATTCATAATTATTTTCTTTCGCTTCAAGAAATATTTTCAAGACATGCATTCATTAAAGGAAAACAATCATATTTTCTTTATAACGATTAACATTTATAAGTTAATAATTTATGCAAATTATTAACTTATAAATGTTGAATAAAACATTTAATAAGGAACAACAGCACTCAAAGGAAATAAAAATAATAAAAGATTTGACGTAAACACATCATAAATCATCGCTATTCTAAACATTTCCACGGGGGGGGGGGAAACATCTGCTGCTGTATGTCAGAATCGAAACTAATAAATTCTAATGAACAACGTCCATGAATATATTCAAACTTTAACATCAAAACATGTATTCAGTGAAACAATATTATTCACAAATTAATTTACTATGCACATTAACATTTTAAAATAACAAATTACAATTCAAGAAATAACGTTTGGTTAACAGAAAGCTGTTTGCTTTCGTTTAATACTCTTATGTAGTATCAATAAATGAGATTTCAGTAAAGAATTTACATTTGCTTTAAGAAGCAGCTTATAATAAATAATCAGTTTAAAAGAAAACTCAGATTAAACGATAATGTAAATGAAACTTATCTTTTCCGTTGAAATTGTCCAGTTGATGATTCGATGTGCTAGCAGCACGGTATGACAATTTTAATTCCAGAATTGGTTTCCAGAATATTTGACCAGTAGTCCACACCTGAAAAGAAACTGAGCCGATCTCCAGCAACTAAAAGTTAAATTCGAGAGTAAGAGCTTGTGAAAGCCAAACAGAAATTCTAAACATTTTGTTGCGCCATTTTTGATTCAAATTTAGTTGGGCGCCAATGTGATGTAGCTGTTCCTCAATAGACACTAATGCCAGCTAGCTTTAAAAGGATTTATTAGCAGAGCACACAGGAACGGGGTTACAAACAAAAGAAATATATATAAAAATGGAACATAAACGAAATGGAACATCAAACATTGAGAATAACATAACATAGTAAGCTGTCATCATGGCGGCTGGAGGTCGACTGACGTTTTTTCATATCGCCACGAGATGGCGTTTAAATAAAATAGTTCGGTTACAGTTCATGAGTTCATGGCGTGAATAAAATAGTTCAATTACACTTAAATAGGTCTGTTACATCCTGTGCAAATATTCACAAGTTTTATAATCACTGCTTCATGGCACTGAAAAAATGTATATGTATACAGTGAGTGTTTCACAGTAATGTGGTCTCTAGTGGAAATGTTTGCAACTAATTTTATTTTTTGCTAATTTTTGCCCTCAACCCATTTATTACACACACAGTTTCACACATTTCTGATGGATGGTTATGTCTATAAGCAGCTCTGAAGAGAAGAAATTTAATTATGGATAGTTAAGAATATTTCATCAAAATCACTTTTCTATGTGTTCCATAGCTGCTAACTCTTCCAGGTTTGCTGGAAGACTAGACTCGATTTTTTATCCCATCTATCATTGAATTTTCCAGTTTTTAATTCTTAATCTTTACTAAGAAAATCTGTTTCTACCAATAAATGAGATATATTGAATTCATGAAACTTAATTTGTGCAACTTCCCCTCTCCCTCCCCCTCATAATTTTTCTTATTGAATTTTATCATATTTATAGGGCATTTTATGAAGATCCAATCTGTATTGAATCAGTTTATATTTGTGTTTAATTTTCTTGTATAGCAGTAAATGATATACAGTACAAAGTCCGAAATCCGAACATCCGTTATCCGGAATGATCCAAAATCTGAACCTCAAAACCTCCAACAAAATGTTTCTTGTAGGCTTTACACATGCACATTTTATTTCCCCCTCCGCGCATAATTAAACATCTGGAGAGTCCCGATTCTTAAGTTCGCTTCGACACTAAATAAAATACCTTGTTATTGAAGTAACTATTATTTTAGCATAAATTTGTACAATCAGTAATTTCGCTCTGTTGCTGCGTATTTGCTTGGCACGCATCTCAAACCGAAACTTCCTAGATACATCGTTGATCTGATTCCAACCTGGTGAATCATTATTTATTATACTTTCCTTTCATTACCACATGTTTATCAAAACATGACAACTTGAGTAATGATTCATGTAGCAATACCTAAACAATTTTTTTAATGTTAGTATTTGAATGATAAAGGAATGTAGTAACCTTTTATGTTGACAGTACACTTGGCAATGATTACAGATTTCAGTTGTGCTAAAAAATGTTGATGAGGAAAAATGTATCAAAAAATTTTTACGTGTGCTAAAAATATATTTTGTTGATGATACTCATAGACCCAAAGATTACATTTAGATCATAAATACTTCATTATTTCATAAATTGGGATTTCATATTTTTAATTTTATAATTTCTACATGCCATCTTACTAGATTTAAACTGATCATCAATTATCTGAAAAAATCCCAACTCTGGAATCGCCGAAGTCCGGATTTCGGATTTTGTACTGTATTACTAATTTTAATCGCATATATGTTAACTATTAATTTTATTTTCATTGTACAGTAAAAAGCCAGATTATCCAGCATTCAATTAATTGGAATATTCCAGAATTCTAGAAAACAACATTCCCCTACAAAAACTTAAAAAATGAGAGATTTATAACACTGTGTTAGAGCTCGTAATACAGTAATCCACCATTCAACTAACCAGAATATATTAGAATTTTAAAGAGGGGAATTTGCTGGAAAAGTTTAATAAATGACCGATTTATAACGGCATTATAAGAGCTTCTGGTATTATTAATTCATTTACATTGTTGACAAAAAGTGTTATTTAGTGCCAGTAATGGATAAGCATAATGCCACAACACAATAAGAAATTCCTTTTGGTTTAATGTAAATTGTATTATCTTGATAAACCAGTTTAGTCTTTATGAAAAAGTCTATTTTTTCTTCACATCTTGAAAAAATGAGATTAATATTTGGGGCTGCATGAAGTGGAGTATTTTCAAAGTTGCAGGATCCAGGTATATAAAAAAAAGGCCATTATATGCAAATTTTGAAAAGGGATGAACAGTGGCAATGTAACATGAAAAATAATAAGCAATTTCAATTTTATATATACTATATCCATAATTTGTATCTCTTTATTATCTAATTAAGTAAAGAATGATCAGTATGTTTATACTTATGCCAGAACGATTGGCAATGACTTTGATTCAAACGATTGGCCAAGTTTCATGTTAGGTGGGATTTCATAACCAGATCAGATGCTTTACTTTAATGTTTAAGGCCTATGAAAAAGTCACCTTTTGTGTTTAAAATGCCATCACCCCCCCCCATAAAAAATGTCTTATATTATTTTATCTTGAATTTCTGTTTGTGCATTGGCTGTACTTATGAAAAAATCAGCTTTTTGTCTAAAATGCCATCCCCCCCAAAAGAAAGAGCTTTCAAATTAAAATAATTTAAACTCCAATTTATCCTTTTGTTTAGCTTCAGTAGTAGTTTTATCTATGTGCAGTATTAATTACGTAAAATATCTCTATTGACTATGAATTTCAATAATTTATTGTGAATTAATAAATAATTATTGTGAATTAATTAAATACAATAAACTATTGGATTTCAATAATTTTTTGTGAATTCAGGGAACTTTAACACCATTCAGAAAATATGAAATAAAGGAAAAAAATAAATTTTGAATTTCTATCTTTGGTTATACTTTTTAATATGTTATTTTAAGAAATTATTTTTTATTTTGTGAATGTGTGTTTAATGTTATAACATGCTGTTATCTAAAAATATGATTTTAAAAAACAATATTTTTTTTCTAGACGAGGGGGAAGTGGATCTGGAGGTTCTAGTTCATCATCAATATCTTCTCGTTTAGGATCAAAACGGGGATCCATAACTGTTGGTATGGGTGATGATGTTAGTTCTACGATGTCTCTAGCTGATGATTCCCCTAATGAAGATAGTCAAGCTTGATAATAAGAGGACTTATAAACTAGTGCTTCAGACAGTCACTTCGGCAGGAGGCATTTTCTATTTGAAACTGACTTGAAAACATTCCTAATTCACCCTTGTTGGGTTCTGTCTTCAACTAATCAACAGATTTTTCTTTTTTATTGTGGTTCCATGATCAGTGATTATTGCCTCAGTTAGCTGCCATTCATTCCTACTTTCATTTTGTCACACCCATGCATAATTAAGGTGCAACTTAACTGGACAGTTTGGAAGTTCGTTTGAAATGAATTAAATCAAGATCGCCTGCGCGGCAACACATGTTAAAAAAAGAAACTGTAGATTGATTTTACTATTATGAAAAGTTAAAACTTTTTATTAAAGTTTATAAAATTTTCTGATGTAAAATTTAATAAACAATTTGAGAGCAAGTTCTAGTTTAGAAAAATTTTATATCTTGAAATGCATGTTGATTTCAAAATTTAACAAGAAATATTGATAAGAAAATCTCTGGAACTGTTTATATTTCTACATCTAGACTTTGAAATGAATCTAAACACTTAAAAATTCATATTCCTGGTAAATTTGCGTGCAATATGTGGCCTTTGTAGCAGACATTTCCAGTTTTAGGTACAGTGAGAATACAGAATAGTGTGCTTGAAGTTTTTTTAAGAAAAAAAAAAAAAAAAAATGCCTTATTTGAAGCTGTGAATTTGTAAGTACCAACAGTGGCACAGTGATTGAACTAAGTTTCAGGTTGAATTATTATTTTTGTATGATCAATCAGTGCAGTATGTTTCTGTAAATTGAATATTGATTAAAGGGTTGAATTATTAATTTTTATGCTCCTTCTTTTTACTTTATTCTTCATTATTTCATGCAAAATACTGCTATAATTGTAATAATAACTGAGATGTGAATTAGCAACAGACTATTGTTAAAGTTGTATGACACAATTTGCAAGAGTTTTAAGCCAAAAATTCCATTATTTACATAGATCAATTGAGATGATATATTTTTATAAATATTGAAGCATTCCATGTCATAATTTATATTTAATTTAAATTGTATGTTTGCATTAAATGTTATTCTGATATTTATGACAGATTTCAATGTGGCTTTTAAAAAATATATCCTTTTTAATTTGAAAAAATATCTTGAAAGAATTTAAATGCTGGAATTTTTAACAGGAAGTTAAATGCAATTATTATTTTTATTTTTTAATGTAATAAATTGAAAATACTCAAGTGTGCTACGTATATATATATATACTCACATATGTATTAGATGGTTGCCATATGTAAAATTTTCATATGGTTATAACATCTTCATGGTTTTTCTCTTCTGATTTTGCCCATATGAAAAGGTTAAGAGTTTAATAGAAAAAATTTTAATGGAATTTTTTCGTAAAAACATGGCAGAAGTTGGAGCTTTACTTTTCTAGATTTTAACTGGAAATTTAATTCAAAGTATAAAAAAATAATAAAAATTGGGTAATGTTTTATTTAAGATGTACTGTATTTACCACATTAACTAAAATTAACATAGTGGTTAAAAATAAGTTTTTAAACTTAGATTTGAAACATATAAAATCTTGAACATTTAAAGAATAAAATTATACAATTGTACCCCCATATCTGCTAATTCAGTATTCTAAGTTCACAGTTCAGGGGGAAAGTTTCTAAATTTCTGAAATGTATGCCAACTTATATACAATGTATGTTCCTAATGATTGTAACTGAATGTGAAGGGGATTAAAATGTTCAGTTTCAGAACCTCATGTATGTTATCAGGTTAGTCTCCTCTCTCCCACTGACAAATGGGGATTACAGCTATCATTGGTTAAAGCATCTAACTTCTCCCATTTACCTATATTTTCCTCTGGTGCACTTTAGCAATCTCCCCTTCATTAGAAACATTGTATCTTAGCTTTCGTAGTCAGAAATTTCTTTTTTACTCTATAAAGGATTCTAAACCTTCAGAGGTATTGTGCTATGTCTTTTCTATTAATGAGAAAGTAAAAATTCTGGATATGATAGAAATAGGAAGAAAGAAAGAATAATGCCATATGCAAAAATCATCAGATTTTATAGAAAAAAAAATGTTCAGTTTGTAAAGTACTGAAAAATTTTAAATAAATAAATAAAATAATATTCATGTGGCAACTGCAAAAGTTACTTCCATAGCTTGAGAAGAAATGCGAATTAAAATTGGAAAAGCCTTAATTTGTTTGTTATCCTTCAGCTTTTAAACATGATCCTTATCCCATTTTCTCAGTTTTATGTAAGCAGACCATTATCCTTCTTCCCTTCCTCTGATTGCTTTATTTGAAAAAGAAAGATTTTTATTCCTACCATTCCTTGAAACAGTTCAATATTATATCGTGCAATGTAGGATTGTGCGTCTTAAATGTGACATTATCTTTTACTGGTCAATTTAAATTTGCAGAGTCCCTAATCCCAGTGAGAGAAAGAGTAAATTTTACATTACTTCATTAATAATAACAATGTATGTATCAGTATTGATTTCTTACTATGCCATATTCATCAGTTAAGTTTCACTGAATTTGTTTTACATTGTGTTTATTATTACCTGCAGATATGGGGAGTACTATTGTAATTTGCTAATTATGCTTTACTTTAATAGAAACACTTCCTTTATCTATATATTCGTTAAACAAATTAAACAGAATTAATACCTAACTGCATTACATATGTATATGATTCCTCTTGTTTATGTTTTAAAGCCATTTAAAAATTTTTCAATTTTAGTTTCTTGGTCTTCCCCCCCCCCAGTAAATATAAACTGTCTTCAATTTTTATTTCTGAACTGGTTTTTAAAGGGTCTTTGTGGTTTGAAATATCAAATTCACCTTCTTAACTTTCTTCAGAATTATTTACATATTCAGATGACTATAGATATTTACATGTTATCGCAACCATCTTAGTAGAAATTGCTAAAGTTTCAAAATGCAGCAAACTCTGGCAACAACGTACATGACAGTTCTTTTGACAGCCATATGTGTGACAAATCTTCAGTTTTTAACAGCTAACATTGTTGTATTCATATGTGCTCCTTTCATTGTATTTCAAATTCAATTTTAACACTTTCCCTGCCACGCTTAACTTTCCGTTCAAGCCATTTGGCATTATCATTGTAAAATGAAGAGTTTTTTAAAAATTCATTATGCAGTCAATTATGGGCATCTTAATACTACTGCTGATGCCCTCAAGCCTCACGCGGCGTGATGGGCAATTTTTTTTTACTCTGTAACTTGTTTCAACCGCATTCCTCGTATTTCGATCAGTCATTTATTTGTGTGTCGTTGATACATTACTTACTGCTTCACTGAAGCTGGGATTGATTTATAGTTCAGTGTGTTAGACGAAGGACATACGGTACGTACATATTATTTGTGTTATAAATTCGGATATTTTGCATTTAAGAATGGTTGCAATTTTTCCCGCCTTTTCTTCTTCAGACCTTTTCCAAATTTTACAATAATTACTCCTTATAAGCAGATATTTCATCACACAGCAACAGTTTTTCTAGTGATGATTCTGATGATGAGGAAGGCCACTTTAATTCGATAAGAAGGCGCTGTAAAATTTGTTACGAAAGAAATATTAAAAATTTGGGTTCTCAATCGGCAAGAAACTGTACTGTAAAAGTTGCGACATTCTGCGATAGTTGTGTGGATAAACCACACTTACGTTTGCCCTGTTTTAATAAAGTTCATCACCCTTTGTAATTGCCTACAAACTTGAATTTAACTAAAATGTTATATTTAAAACTGATAAATGAACATATTTCGGAATGATCAAAGGATGTGCCTTTATCCATTTTTTGCAGCAATTCTGCTTTTTGTTTGATGGACATCGAAACATGCTTTCGCTTTGTAGATCCTTTGGCAGCTCCAGAATTGGATTGCCTCTGACATGATCGAAAGTTCAAGCTTAATTTTATAAAATTGCTCTAACAGTCTGCAAAAAATAATAAGCCTGATCCAATTAGAAGATTAAGGAAACACAATCTGCAACATTAACCGAAATAAAAAATTAGATAATTTTAGCTTAGCTTATACTGTTCGTTATACATTAAACGCGCATGCGTAAATGTATTATGCGCATGCGCAGAAAGTTGTAGCTTTGAGGTCCGTATTATAGATCATTCCGGATTATGAACGTCCAGATTGTAGATCATTCCGGATTATGAACGTCCGGATTAAAGACTTTTGACTGTATTATATACTGATAATAATACATTAACATTTACAGCAATTTTGTTTAATAAAAATGGGAATCTACAGTCCACTACTTTGAAGAACAGATCTATGCTTACAGTTTTTCAGTAGTGTATGATTACTTTGTCCTGCACACTCAAACACAATTAAGCATACAAATGTAAAAAGCTGTAATGAATCATTACCAAAAGAATTCTCAAAATTCTAATATATGTAATAAAATATTTTATTCATAGCAAAATATAATAAAAAATAATTTGATGTCATACATGATTAATGATTTATAAGTGAATCTCATAGTGAACTTTGAAAGAAGTAAGTTCACAAAACTTCCATTTCTTCATTATTTCAAATAGCATCATCCAATATTTGGTTATTCTGTGATGCATCTGATGGGATCTTCATGTACAATAATGAAAATCTGTAAGATTAGGAATTGATTAAAATATAATTGGGTGTGAATTAAGTAATCATATGATGTCAAAAACAATTTCAAAAGCAAAATATTAAAAATCCAAAGATTAGGAATTGATTAAAATATAATTGGGTCTGAATTAAATAATCATAAGATGTCAAAAACTATTTCAAAAGCAAAATATTAAAAATCCAATACTAATTTTAAATGTAGCAGGCAGAAAAGATGATATAAGGGCGAGTCAAATGAAAGTGAGCCAACCCCTCCTAAGCAAGAATGGTTCGGTCCATCATCTGCTGCGCATGCGCGTAGCACAGAGACAGCCTTCATTTACGAAAGTGGCGTGAAAGTGTGAGGTTAAAGTTCTTTAAGGCGCTCTTACACTGGGTTGAAGACGGTAGCGTGACATAATAGACGCTCCAAAAGAGGAACAGCGTGGTGTGGTCAGGTTTTTGACAGCTGAAGGTGTTTCCCAACATGAAATTAGTCGCCGTATGACTGCTGTGTACAGTGAACATTGCATCGCATTGGCCACTGTAAAGCGTTGGAGCAAACGGTTCAGAGAAGGACGTGAAAGACAATCCAAGACCGGGCCAAAGCCACCTTGCAATCACCCCCGACACAATTGCACAGGTTGATGAGCCGATTAGACAAGAACGGAGGATAAGCATCGATGAACTGGCAGAGCGTGTGAACATCAGTCACGGTTCGGTTCACATCATAATTCATGATCATCTCGGTTATCGGCTTTTGTGTGCTCAATGGATGCCCAAGATTTTGAACGACCGCCAGAAGACGGGAGAGGTTCGGCGCTGCTTTGACTCATCTCATCCGGTATCACAATGAGGGTGACGACTTCTTGTCTGCAATTGTGACCGGAGACGAATCATGGTGCCACCACTACTAGTAGACTACAGTAGAAACATGCTGGCAAAGCTTACAGTGGAAACATTTGAATTCACCACCCCCGAAGAAAGCAAAGGCTGTCATTTCCTCGGGAAAGGTGCTATTGACTTTTTTTTTCGATCATCAGGGGCCATTACTGATTGAATTTGCTAAACGTGGAGAGACTATCAATAGTTCGCGATATTGTGCAACGCTGGATCGGCTGCGTGTCGCAATCAAGAACAAACGACCTGGAAGATTGACGAATGGTGTGATCTTGCTGCACGACAATGCTCGTCCCCACGTCGCTGATGTGGTTAAGACACAACTGGCAAAGTTCAAGTTGGACACGCTGCAACATCCTCCATACAACCCAGATTTGTCGCCATGCGACTTTCACATTTTCGGGAAACTGGAAAAACATCTCAAGGGTACCAGATTCGTGTCGGACGACGCCGTGAAGGAGTCGGTTACAGACTTTTTGAATCGACAGCCCAAGGAGTTTTATGAGACGGGGATCATGCGGCTCATTTGTCAATGGGATAAATGTCTCAATGTTCATGGAGACTACCTTTAAATAAAGTACTCTGTCATATATTCGCATTGGCTAACTTTCATTTGACTCGCCCTTATATTTGCATCATATTCATCAGTCTGAAATAAAATTGCAATGTTTGGCACAAATTATTTACTGATACTACACTGATTTACTAATACACCATGTTTGCTCTTAATATCACTTTCAAATAGCTTTTCTTACTCCAAAAATTATTATACTTCAAACTTGAAGCTGGAAATTTGCAACACAAAGTCTCAAATTATTTATGAACTTATAAGCCTGGGTTAGGTTTTAAATAATATGATACCATTTAAAAACAAGTAAACCATTAGGAATTTTTTTATTTTAGGTGTTAATATTATCTTTCAAAGAAAGGAAAACGCAGCAGGCATAAAACAAATTTAGAACTGATAAAATCTTTTAATGATATTAAATAATATCATTAAAATATTGATGATGTAAAATAATATGATCGGTTTAAAATATTAGAACTAAGCTCTGTCATCCAAACTTAGCAAGAAAAATACCAAAAATGATCAGAAAAAGAAAAACAAATAGGTGCAGTTTAATTAATAAACTACATTTCATAATAATTCTGAAAATGTTGCTTAAGTAAGTATAAGGTCTTTTCATATAAACACAGCTACCAAGTTTCCTGATTTTGTCAGGTGACTTCTGGTATCTCAACTCATATACCACTCTCCTAGTAGAACACCAAATCTCCTGGTTTTTAATTTTTAGCCTCTACTAAGGAAAATGTTCTCCAGCAATAAATTAAAAATTTAATTGGTATTTATTAAAAAATATTCCCTAGTTATTTTTAGCATAATTTGTCTTATTAAATTTTATTTGATCTGAAATGTCAATCTCCTACTTGTAGAAGTTTTAAGATAATTCTAGCAATGTTTAATCAGTTAATTAATGTTTAATTTTTAATCAGTATTTAGCTTTTTTACATTAGTATATGATGCATTAATAAGTTAAGTTTTCTACACAATAATTTTTATACTAATTATTAATTTCATCATATTAAAGGGGGAAAAAAGCTTTCCTTCCCTCCTCAAAAGAAATGTCTTTCAAACTTGAACTTTCAATTTTTAAAAAAATATCCATTCATCTAAAAATACATCATGGTAAAATAATTATCTGCTAATATTCTATAGATAGGCAGTCAGAAACTATTAAAAATAGGATGATTTCGCCATGCAGCCAAATTCGCCTTTGGTGAATTTCAAAATTAAGAAAGTCGCAAAGCTGATCAATTCATACAACAAAAATGTAAAATAATGAATGAAGAGACAAAAAGCAACATTTTTGGCTGTCAGTACACATAAAATAAAAGGAAGAACTGATAAAAATTTAATTCTTGAAAAATTAAGTCCAAATATTAGGAACTCTGGAAGGAAAACATTTTACTACAGAATGATACATCATACATAATACAAACATGACTATTTACATGACAATAAATTCACTGATTACAGATTAAATGCACAGCACAGATGCAATGTAGTTAAAAAATGACTACAGTAGTAAGCTATTTACACTAATTGTCAATAAGCAAACTGAATCAATTACAAAAGTTTTAAAAATACAAAGCCACCGGCAACCAAGCAGTAGAACTGCTGACCAGAGTTGGTTCAAGGTGGGTTTAACCTTTTCGTGATGGCGCACCTTTGTTTAAGACGCTCGTGTGGGACAGAAGAGAATCGAAAGCAGTCACCGTACAGGACGGAGGTTTTGCATCGCTAAGCCTAATTTTATAAAAAAAAAAAATCAGAAAAACAAAAGTTTCGCTTCTAGCATCATAATTTTTGGCATCATTTTAGATTATTACTTGAGCTTTCAAATATGTTAGAATTAGCACTTTTTTCTTTATTTTACATGAAAACATACTTAAAAAAAATTGCTTATCTTGTGAAATAATTTTCGGAAGCTCTATTCAAATTATTCCAAAATTTTAATTGATAAAATCCATCAATAAAGTTTAAAATTAATAAAAAGAACACAATAAAGACTATTTACAGTAAGAAATAACAAAATTTAAAATGAAAACGAGTGTGGTAAATCTCGAAGCACAGAGAAGTATCACTAACTCTTAGAAAAAGAATCAGTATTCTCATTTGCGTTAGTAAATGATTCACCATACGAGGGTATTCTTCCTCTGATAAATAGTGCCTTCCCGCCATAATAGGCTGGAGGTGAGGCTTTCCTAAATAAAAAAAGAAGGAATGGAAATATATCAGAAGGAATGGAAATATATCTGAAGGCAATGCAAAACGTAAAAAAACTCCGTACAGTAACCCTAAAAGACCGTAAATAGTAGAGGAAAAAATAGAATAAAAAAAGGAATTGGATATAAATCAGATCGAGAATGTTTTCATTAGCACGCAGGGATTTAAAGAGCCCACCTCTGTTTACGCTTTTCCTCTGCCCCCACTCTCGAACAGCTGATGAGTAAAATAATAAAAGTCAAACAGAATATATCAAACTCAAGGTCAGGAACCTAAAACTGTGTTCATTTTCAAAAGTAATGGACATAGGATGCCATCTAGTGGCCTTCAGAAAAACGTTCTACCTTAAAATGCGTATACGCATCACCAGTCCTCTGAATGCAATCTCTACTAATGCGTGGATGGGACGCCTGGCTGTAAGAGACGTTCTTAGGAAATGCGTATATGGGACGCCCGTCCTGAAAGGGTTAAATCATGATGAACAGAGCAGCTGTGTGGGTATAATGCTTTTCCTCATGGGTAATGTAAATGCTACCCATTTGCCTTAATCATCTCCTTTTTTTTTTTTTTTTTTTAATGGAAGTGCTATAAATTGTTCACCTGCTTTATTTTGGTTACACTGCAAGCAACATTTCAATTTTTTTTCAATCATTTGTTATATTACTTCAGAATTTTACTATGTTTTTCCTTAAAATCCCTTGATACATGACTGGGGCTTTGGGAGTTTCTCCCACCCCCAAATTCATTATTTGACTAAGCAACTGTTAATTCATCTTGAAACAATATCCAGACCACATTGAATGCATTTATCCAATGAATTTAAGATATGGTTTACAAAAAGTCTAAATCAATGTTTTTCCAATTTTTAGACTTTCGCAATCATATTGACTGCAAGTTGCAGCTTGCCAAAAAAAAAAAAGGTAAAAATTTGCATTTAAGTGAAGGCATGTAAGATATCATAAATAAAGTATAAAGAATTTGATTATAATTAACTTCCAAGAAAGGATTGCAATGTTTAAGTGAATGTTATGCGGATATTCTCGTATCTCATAAGGTTGTAAAAAGAATTCTTAAACCTTTACTATTTATTTAATTAAATTGAAAATAACACATAAGTGAGCATTTTATTTACTCAGAATAAAATTTTACATTTTACACAATGTATTTACTACTACAAATAAATACTGAAATCAACAAGACATAAAATCACTAAACTAATGTTGTTAATAAATAGGTCTAATGAATTGATCAGATTAAATGCAAAATAAAATACCTAATTAATAAGTTCCAATAATTTATTTTTGAATGTGTGAAAACTACTCAAAAAT